AATACAATAAAAATTAAGGACGTTACTTAGGTCCAGTAATGTAAATCCACAATTATAAATGCTTGATGACTCTGAGCAGGTTGGCGAACTCTCTAGCGATATAGTCCAACGTAGGATGTGATATATTCCGATTATAGTCTATAAATGTAGATAGTATTTGACTTCCGTTAACTCAATCACAAATGAAAATAGAACGAGGAATGCGTGAGTAGTAATGTATTTGTCAACCGGCAAGAATATGTCACGCTATGTAGTAGCTCAACGGAAAGTGTGTTAAAGGTCATTGACTAAAACAACACGTACAGTCATTTAATGATGAATGTACATACAGTGAAAAATTGACAAACAAATACAAATAATATTAAAAACTATTTACAAAATAAGCTTGTCAGTCATATCTCCACAATCTCATCCATCTCACAATTTGAACGAGAGTAGATTAAGTCAATCAGTAGCCCTTTGCAGTTGCATTTTAAGCGACTACTGAGTAATTAGTAAGACCTAAAACATCAAAACTAAAGCTTGCTTCTTAACGTGAAAAACTGTAAAGATTTTATAGTAAGCTTAGGCAAAAACACGGGTAACGATCAATTTGAATAAGACTAAAAAAGAAAGATAATTTAACTAACGTTAGGCTCAGTATAGATTCTTTGAATCAGAATTAGCGTAGTGATATTCATCGTGTATTCAATGGTGACTAGCTTTGGGAGGTATTTCTCGGCGTCCTAATAAGAATCCGCAACCAGTATTGTTCAAACACGTTGGATTTAAGGAAGTTATCTGTGGAAGAAGATGGAAGATGGGCGAGCACTTTTTCGGACTGATTGCAATTAACTCCTCTGGATTTTGTCTCACTGGTCTACAGATTATATGTCTGTGCATACGAGAAAGTCCCTTGATTGGGTATTGTTTGCGGGGTCGAATATACGCACTTCTGAGCAGTTTCATTCTAGAATAACACTGCCGCCCAGTACTGACAGTTTTTCAATCCTCATCAGACACTGATTGGTACATGATCTTGACAAAAAAATTATATTAGCCATGAAAGTTACATAACTTTAATTAAGTTATCTAAGGGAACGGAAAAAAAGTATTAGTGTAGACGTGGTTTAAAACAATCCTTGTTTAATGAAGAGTAAGGCATGTTATTTCTTTCTTTTTGAAACGATCAGCATAAGAGTTTACACTTGGTTTTAAAATATACATATTACCCGAAAGTTCAGACTACCGGATTGAAATGCATCCACCCACCACAATTTCTAGGACCGTCGCATCTTTTTTAACAGTTAGTGATTTTAGTGGAACGGATTTTAAGTTCGTAAGTCCTGAAATGAATAAGTAATAAACTACGTTTTATTCGCTCGCCGTTGTTATCCATAGGCCATGAAATGTTGTAATGGGTGTTACGGCATCACAGACACCACCAGAACAGGTTATTCCAGTGTGAGACACTAACAAATTCAGTTCAATCAATCCAAAATATATTTACTGTTGTTCATGCCTTCGACTGTCAGTCACTTGTCCAGAAATAGTCCTGATTTTTCGAAACTGTCACTTTTCCCCCCGTTTTACCGTCGTTTGTACTTTGTTCTGTGACGACGGAGAACGTTGGACTGGTCCATTGCTGTTCCATCTCTTCTAGTTTTCTCGATTACGATTACAAAACTCATCTATTCTCTTGAAATAGATAATTGGTCATGTACACTTAACAAAATTGTGCACGGTGAAGGCTTTTGTGACAATCATAAATTAAGCCTTAACACATCCAATAAAAAAACAGACGGACGAATAATCTGCGTGGGATAAATTTGTAGCTGCAATCATGCTAGTGTTACGTTGTTAGTAGTTCGTTAATTGAAATATTGACTAGGTGTAGTATATCTTTGGCAATATATATGTGTCCAATTTGGGGGTAACCCCAATTGTGGTTAATTTGGGGTTACCACCGACCGCAATCCCGGATAAAGGACGAGAATTCAGCATGAAGTCAGCGTTCTCATCCGGGAAAAAACAATTCCAATCACTTAGTATCTACCCCGAAGATGAAGTATCTTCATTCGGAAGAATCATGAGGCCTCATGGTGAAAATTACGACTCTTCGTAAAACACGGGGCCGATGACCCACATAACAACCAGGGCAATAATTAGTATAGGTACGTGGAATGTTCACATAATGTGGAGGACTGGGAGGACTAGTCAAATAGTTGTGTAGATGACGTAATACAACTGTGAGGTGCTCGGAATAAGTGAAGTCCAAAGGACCTAAACCGGATAGAAAAGCACATATTCGAGAGAGATGCTGCTGTGCTCTGGTCACAAAGAAAATAGCCTACACTCAGGGAGTTGCTATGATGCTGTACAAAGAAGAAAGAATTGTGTTTATAGAATAAGAATATCAAGGATCCAGGATCATCAATGCATCCTTCAGAACAAAAGAAGGAAAGGATCACAATTAATCTCTTCCAGTGTTATGCACCCACCAGTGATAACAATGACGACGATGAGGGCCAGTTTTATGAGAGGCTGTAATCGATCATAGCGAAGTTCTCAGGAAAGGAACTGACCATCCTGATGGAAGACCTAGACGCCAATGTCGAAATGGACAACAACGGTTGTAAAAGCATCACTAGACAACGTGGACTGGCACAGTGGAACGAGAATGGCGCGATATTAGCAAGTTGACAAACATATAACAAAATGGTTTTGAGTGGCAAAATATTCCTCCCTAAACGCACACACAAGGCAATATGAGTCTCATTGAATCACACTACACGGAACCCGGTTGATCATATTTGCATCACTAACATTTTCAGAAGAACAAAGGATGACGTGAGAACCAGACGAGAAGCTCATACAGCTTCAGATCACCATCAGGTGGTTGCCGACATAAAACCAAAGATAGAGAAGGACGAGATAGTTGCAGGAAGAGCAATACAATGATTTAATGCAGCTTTTCATTAACACAGAAATAAACTCAGCGAATTCAAGAAAGCACACAACAAAATTTTTTCTTAACAAGTTATTTTAGCTAGATTCATAGACAGTTTCGACCTGGCCAAATGAAATCGCTATTACTGAAACTTGGTTTACTGAGTTTGTAGACAATAGAGAACTTGATCATGAAGAAGAACGGACGAAACCCGGAAGAGTGATAGAGAATTAGTAGCTTTATCCATGAGAGATACCACCTCCTCATTGTTATTGAAAAAATATCACATGACAGTGGAATTTACTAATCAGTCAGTTGTCGCTTGAAATGCAACTGGCAAGAGCTGCTGATTGAATTGGTCTACCCTAGTCCAAACTGTGAGATGAATGAGGTCTTATTAAACACATTAAACAATTGGTTCTCAAGTGGTCGGTGTTTAATTTCAGGAGGCTTTAATGCACCTGATGTGGCCTAGAAAAGCCTAAGGACTGGGTCGTTGGAAGATTCTCCCAAACAAAAACTAGTTTACGCGGTTTTTACATGTGCCCTAGTGCAACCTGTGAAAGAAGCAACTGGTTGCGATCCGAAATTCGAATCATATTTACTATGAGGATCACGTCACAAAGCACGATCGTGTCACCCCCAGGTAACGGTGATCATCCAGTTCCAGTTTTTGATTTTCGTATCGTTTAAAACAGCGGTGTGTCGGCCCAAGCCAGATCAAATGTTTGAAAGGTAAATCTACGAGGAATCATACTCTCAGCACCCTCAAAATGTTGTACGGTAAAACCAGAATTCCCGGTAGAAATGGCTTGAGAGGTATTAGGAGTTTGCACATAAACTTTACCACACCACACGTTCATTAAACTACATAAAAGAATGTGGGAAACTCCCCACCACGGTTCAGTAAGGAGGTTCATACCCTCCTCTAGAGGAGGAAAAGAATCTAGAGGATATTTAGGTTACAGGGTTCGAACGAGGCAAAATTTCAATATAGAGAAACACAAAGTATTTGTGATTACACTCTGTTCAAGTCTAGAGGTTTGTATGAAGCAAGGCTTGTTAAGAAGTCTTTAGAATAACTAGAACGCTCATATTCGTACATAAACCAAGGGACTAAGAGACGAGGCGGCACTCTAAAATTATGTGGAGATGATAGTACTACGATTCCTATAAGGCTCCGATATTCTATGACTACTTTAGCAACGTATATAACTTGGAGATACCCTTCCCTTTAGTTCATATAAATTTTCTTATTCAAATTAAGGACATTGTGGCCATTAATGAACCCAACGTCTTTGGTCTGTTAAATAAGCTTGATATGGGAAAAACTATGGGACCCGATGAAATGCATTCTACATTACTAAATGAACAGGCAAATTCTATCACAAGTTCCTTACGTATGTTTTTTCAACTTTCCCGTAATCCAAGATAGACTACAAAATGACTGATAGAACCCCATAATAATTTCTGTCTTTGAAAGAGGTATGAAACGCAAGCCTGAGAACTACTTTGCCGTGAGCCTAATCACAATTGTTGCCAATATTCTGGAAAGGATTATTCGAAAGGATTTTTTCGCATATCTCGTCGAAAACCTCATTTCTTTGAATATGTTGCACGGTTTTAGAATGAATTATTGATGGCTCATGAACATACCTTCCTACAGCCTGGCATTTCTTTTATTCCTGCTGTGTATAAATGACTTTCCTAGTTTCTCCTCTTCATCAGTTTTATTTTATTCCGATAATATCAAAAAATAAGGGAAGACAAATGATGGGGCTGATAGTTCAGATCTTCAAATTAACTTCCAGAAATTATCCAAATGGCCTAGAATATTTAGTTACCGACAGTTTTTTCCAAGTACATTATGTTGCATGTTAGACAACAAGACAGATGCTTACACGGTGAAAATCATTGAGCTATCTAGTATCCAGACACAGACGGAGCTAGGAGTAGTCACTCACTAAAACTTAAAAATCACTGCATCAGGCGTAGAACTGAATAAACAGACAATTAGCTTTTTTTGTTAGAGAAAATTCACGTTTTAAACTGCTGTTAGTAAGCCTACAGTAAACGCGCTAAACTAAAGTACAAGGTGGTACCCTGACCTTGTTCCTCACGCTGTGGGCCTAGTATGTTCTTATGACCCAAGTCACTATAGATATATTTTTCTTGTCATTCAGTTTCATTGATATTGCCAAAGATTTTTGAAGCTTTTTTAAGGATGCGAAGACGCTTGGTAGTTCTTACGTAAACAGTTCAGATCTTAATTAACATTTATAGTGTGAAGAACTAAAGGTTTGCATCGATCTTTTTGACTGTATTTGGCATATATCTAGCTTCCACCAGATAATTGCGACGTAGTTACAGACACTTGCTGTAGTATATTCCAAAGCGGATCGCGCGTTCGGATTTCTTGAACTCAATGAGTATTGTGTTGTGAAATCACCTGATGTATCATGAATCTTAATAAAGTAGCTGGAAAAAGTAATAAATTCAAAGAGTCCAGGTACGTCGGTATCAGACTGCTTCTCAGTCTACAGGTGGTTAATTTGGATTTGCCCAACCTTCCTAACTGTTCATTGTTAAATAACTAAGCAGAAGTCCTGTAAACTCTTACCAGTCGACTGTAGACATTCATGGATTTGCATTCAAGACAAGGGTTTGTGACCTCCACAGGGGGCTTTTATTTTGACCATACCGGTGTTTAATAAAGCATCTTGAATAAATTGTTTATCTAATTTCTATCCAGATTATGGTTTAGGACCAACAACTCTCATATCACAGTACCATTCAGAATTAAGATTTTAATTTCCATTAGTATGTAACATACTCGTATTGATATGAACTGTCACACACATGGAGTATCTTTTCCGGAGATATGTGTTGAGTGCTCAAACGCGTTTGTTTGATTATAACAAGTCGATTGTTTAATCGAAAAGTAGAAGGAGCATAATGTTAGTCCTAGGATACAGAAAATGTACAATTGTTTTCACACAAATATTGGTGAGACTAATTTATACACAATGACGCTAAGGTTACCTAATGACAGCTCACATACTCCTGTTGCACCTCGTGAAGCAGCATAGACCGCCCACCAGTATTCCCCACCGAACTTTGTTCTGGGCGGTCCTTTCCAGCTGTTACTTATCGTTTTGATTTCTACCCCCAACTCCGGACGTAATGTAATCTTTTTCTCTTACTTTCCGGATTCCAAGTTGACGCTTTTTTCGTTACACAGTTTGATTTCCTTATTGTTTGTCCTATCGATTTCCAGCGTCTTTTTCCAACTTCCTCTTCAGGTGTAAGCTGGTTTGTTTTCTCCCGCAAAAAGTTGTTGCTGATGATATCCGGTCAACAACAGGGAAAAGTAAGCAGCCTTTTCTGTTACTGGTCCTGACTTGGAATGCTTCTGTCAGCTGTCTTCCATGTACAACTTTTCAGAGTAGTATGAATTCTGGATGATATTGACGAGTTCGTCAGGTACACCATAGTGTCGAAGATTGTTCCGTAGAGTCCTCCTATCCTAACTGTCAAGTGCACCTCATAGTCAAAAAAGTTGATGTGCAGTGAAGAATTCCATTCAATTGATTATTCAGCAATGATCTGTAGTGTCGCGATTTGGTCTGTACACGACCGGTCCTTACGGGATCCGGTCTGTTGATCTCAAAGCTTGGCGTCTACTGAATCTCCCATCCTGCTTAGAAACACTGTTGAAAACTTTTCCCGTTACCGTTAGTAGTGTGATGCCTCTTTAGTTTTCACATTCGCTTAGGTCTCCCTTCTTTGGTATCTTGGTGAGATATGCTTCTTTTGAGTCTGTCAGTGGCACTTGTTCTTCCTCCCAAATCTTTCTAAATAAAACGTGGAGCATGTTTGTAGTTACTTCGATGTCTGAATTCAGTATATCAGCTGGTATATTGTCAGGTGCTACTGCTTTCTCACTCTTTGATTTGTCTGATGGCCATGTTGATTTCTCCGATTGTTGGTGGAGTGATAGCTGTAGGAAGGTCTTTGTGTACTCTTAGATGTTCCGTGAGTTCAGTGGAGCTAACCTATCCGAGAGTTCCTCGAAATATTCTACCCATCTGTCAACTTTTCTGCTCTGCTAGCTATGATTTCTCATGAAAATCCAAACAAAATTAACGCTTACATGATAAATGGCTGATCATATCTACCTCCTAATTTTATTCCCCTTCTTTCTGTTAGTACTACCTTAGTCTTTTAGATTTGTACCTAGTCTCCTCACTCTTTGATTCGATACTGTTAAAACGCAGTTTCTTCACTTTTATATATGGTTGTCTATCACCACTTGATTGTGTGCTCACTCATTTGACTTTGTGTTTAGAAATTATTTTTTAAAATATACACTGAGTAGTTTAAATGCTATTATTTACGACCTAGGAAACTCTTGGGGTCGGTAAATAGACCTAGATCAGAAAAAACCAACTAATACTTTTACGATTTGTGTAGAGGCTCTGAAAATCGAATACTGAAAATATGGATAAATGATAAACCTGTTGTTTTAGTGTTTCATGTTCACAAGATTTTGCTCATTTTTGGATTGCAGTATCATTTAATGGGCCATTTACTGGTATGAAAGCTACGAAAATTCAGATAAATAGATTACCAATATGTAGGTCACATAAGATGTGGCTTCCTCATTTACCTTTTGCCCACTGTATCACTCAGTGACGTTATAAACCAGAGGGGATAACACAAAATTATTAGTTGGTAAGAATGCTTGATACCTTCAGAAGAAATTCAACATTCTTCTTAGAACCAAAACGGTTAGTCGTGGATACTCTAGATTTCTATTCTCTTTTAATAACTGTAATTTTAAGGTTACTTATTTTTGCTCTCGTTGAAATTTAAAGATCTCATTCAAAATCCTTTTCTAATACAATTCTTTCTTTGAAAAATTTCACTTCATTCACTCGAAATAATGTTTGAAAAATATAAAGCTCGATCCTGGGTTAACCTAATCTTACGTGTATTCCGAGTGGCTGATCGAAGCTGCTACCTTGACGCGGTAGTCGGACTTGCCTATCGTGATGACCCAACCTACCCTTCCACGGTGTGGGCAGCCGGGAAGTGATATCAGCCCTCATACCCGTAACAGCACAAGAGACCAAGGTGGTCATATTCAAGGCCTTCCTACACCTCTTAATACCTCTCTTATCTCCCCGACTAACCCTCCTCACGTCTCTTTATCACCTCGCACCGCTAGGGCAAACTATTCGAGTACGTGGAACGCCATTCCTGGTCTCCTGAAACCACACTCTAAACTACACGTAGGAGCTTTTAACGTACGAACACTTTACCAAATAGGACAGCAGGCTTCCTTAGCTAGGACTTTAGAATCTCGCGCCATCGATGTGTGCTGCGTCTCCGAAATGCGCATACAGGATCCAAGTAGCGTCATTCATTTGACCTCACCATGCCAAAATAAAGAACCGACTCGATTTACGCTTCGTGTATCTGGAAGCCCTGATTGTGCTTCCCGTGGCCTCGCCGGCGTAGGTATAGCATTGAGTCCTAGGGCAGCACTAGCTCTCTTAGAGTGGATCCCAGTAGACAGTCGTTTGTGCGCTGTCCGTCTGAACGGAACAGTAAGAATCCGGAAAGATAGGGACACTCGTCGTTGCCTCTTCGTCGTCTCTGCCTATTCTCCCACTGACTGCAGCTCAGATGATGTAAAAGATGAGTTTTACAGAAAGCTTTCGGACCTTCTCCGAAAAGCTAAGCGCTCGGATGTAGTAATAGTGGCCGGTGACTTTAATGCTCAAGTAGGTAAACTAAGCGATAGGGAAAGACACCTAGGTGGATCTTATGGTGTCGTGGCTCAAAGAACAGATAATGGCGACCGTCTGTTGCAGCTATGCTCAGATAACCGCCTGTTCCTTGCAAATACTAACTTTAAGCATAAGGAAAAACATCTTTTAACATGGCGACCCCCTAATTCGTCCCAACGTTGGACCCAAATAGATCACATTGCTATCAGCCACCGATGGAGGGGCTCGATAGAAGACTGTCGCTCATTCTGGAGCACATGCTTAGATTCAGATCATGCTCTAGTGCGAGCGCGTATCTGTCTGCGTCTTACTGGACGTAGGAAAGACGCTGCAAGGAAACCTCTTAAGGCCCTACTTAATGATAGTCAAGCTAAGAGTATATTTCAGGAACAACCAGGAAAACAGTTAGGCAGCCATGTACGTGAAGCCCACCCTGAGGCAGCATGGAATGATATCCGAAAAGCTGTGGAAAAATCAGTGACATCTGCTAGTAAGGTAAACCGTAAGGTTAGAGAGAAACACTGGATCTCAGCGGCATCTATCGCACTGAAAGATGCTCGGAAACTCATTCCACCTGGCTCTGAACATAATGAAGAGCGGAGTCAGCTTAAGCGCAAGCTGACAAGAAGTCTACGCAATGATCGCGAACAGTGGTGGGTAGCGAAAGCAAGAGAGATGGAAAAGGCAGCGGCAATAGGTAATAGCAGACAATTGTTTAGACTCGTTAAGGAAACCGGAATTAGGAACCCGACCGTTAGCGAAACAATCTCAGAGAAAGATGGGCATATTATTCATTCTCAATCCAGGAGATTGGATTGATGGGCAGAACACTTTAGGGATCAGTTCAACTAGCCTTCAGCCACACTTCGGTTTCCCACGATCTCCAGTCAACCTGAATGGCAAGTTAAAGTAGGTCCTACAACTGTTTACGAAGTTGAAAAAGCTATAGGAAATGTGAAGCGTGGGAGAGCAGCAGGCCCTGACAGGTTTACTCCTGCGATTTTTAAGGATGGTGGTCCAGTATTAACAGAGAGATTAACTGAGGTCTTAAGTAGAATCTGGGAACTGGACGTAATCCCGTCATTAACACTTCGGCTCCTAGTCAAAGCTCGTGAAGAGCAGACTAGAGAAAATCAGGCTGATTTTCGACCTGGACGTGGTTGTATAGATCAGATATTCACACTACGTCAGGTTCTAGAACATAGACACACATTCAGACGCCCCACAATCGTAGTATTTCTCGATCTTAAGGCGGCATTCGACTCTGTTGTTCGTAAGGTTCTATGGCACTTTGTTACTGAAAGGAGTACCAAAGAAGTACATTAACCTTATAAAGGCTCTCTACTCGAACACAACTGGTCGAGTGAGAGCTTATGGCGAACTGTCATCAGAATTGATTACCTCAAGTGGTGTTCGTCAGGGCTGTCCACTCTCTCCATTCTTGTTCAACTTTTTGGTCGACATGCTTTTAGTGATAACACTTTCCTCATCTGACTTTCCAGGGGTTGAACTTCTACTGGGAAATTCACTTTCTGACCTAGAATATGCAGATGACATAGTTCTATTTGGTGAAGACACTGACAAAATGCAGAGTTTTCTGACCACTCTAAGCAACAATGCAAGTATGTTCAGAATGCGATTCCCCCCTCGAAATGCAAAATGTTGCTTCAGGATTAGGTTGCATTGACACCCGAACTAATGATAGGGAGTAAAGTAGTTGAGTGTGTTGACCGCTTCACTTATCTTGGAAGTTTCATCAGCCCTTGTGGTTTAGTGTGTGACGAAATCTGAGCACGGATACAGAAGGCTCGAATAGTTTTGCCAACTTGCGTCATTTATGGCGTAGGCGAGATATCCGTCTATCAACCAAAAGACGTTTTTACTGCGCAGCAGTTTGTTCCGTCCTACTCTCTGGCAGTGAAACATGGCCTGTAAGAGTAGAGGATATCCGTAGGTTACTAGTATTTGATCATAGGTGTCTTCGAAATATTGCTCGTATATCCTGGGACCATCGAGTAAGTAACGCAGTTGTTAGGAAACGGGTACTAGGTAAGGATGGCAAATCAATTGATGAAGTATTGAAACTTCATCAGTTGAGATGGCTGGGACACGTGTTACGTATGCTCAAGTTGATGGTTTAGGGGCTATGTGGTGGTTACTCTAGCGCTACAAATTGAGTCAGTGTTTTTTCGATGGAATTGTAAGTCTTTTGCCTGTAGCATTACTGTTTGTTTAGAATTTATTCTTAATTGTTTAATCCCACTTGTAAAGCGGTGACTTGGTAGAAAAATTGCCTTTAACCCCTTCTACACTTTCTGTAGCTTTGAAAATGAGACGTCTCTAGCTTTCAAGCAGACGCTTGGCTCATACTTAAGTTTAGTTAAGTAATGTAGCTCAATGGTGGACGTGTCCATGTACTCAAATTTTATGCACAAAAAGTAATAGTCGGTATGTTATGTCTAGATGTACAGTAAAAAGTTGCGGAAAACATTATTATGAATAGCATGGAAATGACTTCAGATGTCTGTTGAGTTTCACTGGGTTTATTTAGTTAAGTATTACCCGATAGACAGAGTACGGCAGGTTGTTTACCTGTTGTATGCGAGATTGTCCAGCTGCACAATCTGAAGTAGTCGCGGTGAGAATTGAACTTGCAATCTAATTAGGAGTCGAATGTTGATGATTTCTTTATTTAATACTATGTCTTTATTATGGTACGGATTCTTTAAATAGCTGTCAAACCACTATCCCATATGATGACAAATTAATCGGAATTTGCACATTCGAGCCATGTGATCAAAATATATCTTGTGTTTAGTGTACATTTACTGTTTCTAGAGTTCAGTACAAGTATTTATTCATGTGAAATATTTTTCAGGCATATAAAACCAACCATAAGAGTTGGACCTCTTATATTTGATCAACATCTAACGGGATAATTAATCACACCCAAATCATGTTCCTTCGGTCCATCATTGATAGTTTTCCGAAAACGTGGATCATTCAAAAGAGATATCTTTCAAAGATTAAAATTCCTGAATATCTTTTAGACAGAACAGTAAAACCAGAAGAAGTTTTAAGTCGCCTTACACCTGAGGATACAGAAAGGTTGGAATTTTGTATGGCAGAATATCAAAATATGCTTGAGAAAGGTGCTGATGTTCCGAAGTCTTTAAATAAAAGGAATGTTCTAGACCTGTTGTGCTGCACCAGTCCTACATCTCGAATAAAATTTCTAAAGTTTTTGTTCAAGTGTGAGAAGCGCGATGAAAATGCTCTTATGAAAAAGTTAGAGAAGGTAGATACGCAGCATTTCAGTAAAGTCTGTTCTGTTGAATTTTTTTTGTCAGTTTAACGTTTTTGTTTTCAAATGTGTGTAATACTATTCAGTGAAGTGGTGGATTTTTTATTTTTTTCTCTCGATCAACGTATTAGGATTGTTTGTATTCAATGTCGTATGTGATGGCGTTGATCCGAAATACTTGGTGTGGATAAAATGTATTTCGATCATGTAATAGAAATCCGTCTTTCCTTTGAGGTTAGGATTTTTACCATTTATTGTTATGTTACTGTACGTAATGTAGAACGTGACATATATGCATTGTTTTATGTCGTCATACCACACAAACACAGCGAGATAAAATTATTCCGACACAAATTCTAGAGTAGTATAAATGGTAACCGTATAGTATAAAATAAATTACGCATAGAAAACGAAGATATATATAGATTTCAGCACCCATGTTTTAAAGGAATACAAAGATTGAATGCACCTCCGCCATTACACACGATTTTATGTTAATCTCAACCAACGTTTCTGATGATCGGTCATGATAATGACGCGGACTTCAATCAAGTAGGTTGCACATACTACCATTAATTAGTCCATTTGTCAATGACGTTTTAGACTGGTTCATTTCTTGGTTTGTTTGTCCGTAGCATTCTTCAAGCCTCTTACACTAGGCAACATACCCCGTCAAGGTAGGCAGTAGTTATGCGTACGCTGTAAAACTTCCTCTTGGTGCATACTTTAGTGTGTTAACTTTCTCATGTACAGGGAACGTTTTACTGATTTGTTTGCCCTAGTGAATTAAAACTTACAAGCCTAAACTCAGTCGTCCCAAAACATATGAGCGATTTTTCAAGGAAACTTTGGATCAAATACTATTAAATTACGAATATAATCTATTCTTAATGGCAAAGTTTAACAACCACAAGACAAAACGGTTCAAACTGCTGCGCACTAAACTTGTCGTTTGTTTGGCAGACGGATATCTCTCCTGCACCACAAATGACGCAAGTTGACAAAAGCCAATCGAGCTTTCTGAATCGGTGAAGAGATTTCGTCAGACACCAAGTTATTAGTACTGATGAGAAGATACGCTCGACCACTTTACCATACTATCAACTTTAAGTGGTATCCGTCAAGGTTTCCCACTTCCCAATTTTTTTACTTAATTATAAACATCGTTCTGGAGATTACGCTTTCATCGTCTGACTTTTCAAAGGTTAATCTTCTACTGGGAAGTTCACTTGTTGACTTAGAATACGCAAATCACACAGTCTTTTCACAGTCCTAAGCAAACATGGTAATATGTTTGGAGTGCGTTTCTCTCGATCTAAATGCAAAATTTTGCTTCAGAACTAGTCTGCACCAGAGCCTAAATTAATGATAGAGTGTAAAGTTCGAGCGTATCGAACTCTTCACTTATCTTGGAAGTCTCATCAGTACTAATAACTTGATGTCTGACGAAATCTCTTCACCGATTCAGAAAGCTCGATTGGCTTTTGTCAACTTGCGTCGTTTGTTGTGCAGGAGAGATATCCGTCTGCCAAACAAACGATAAGTTTACTGTGCGGCATTTCTCTCATCTGAATGATGTTTTGTTTAGGATGCTTGCTTCCTTTGTTGATTGTCAGTTACCTGATCCTAGAGTTGTCAGTCCTATGCAACCGTTGTTTATTCACTTAACTGTCAAATGAATAAAACTATCTTAACGCAGTATACAAAATCGGCATTATGAATACCTATATCCTCCGATAAATTGCGGGGACGCATTTAGTCGATCTAGGGGTATCGACTCCAGAGGTCTTTATGGATGGTGGTCCAATTTTAGCGATTAGGTTGACTAATATTTCAGCTAAAAGCTGCGAGTTGGACGTAGTCCCATCTGACTGCTCACCATAACTGATTGTCCCAATATAAAAGAAAGCGTCAAAATCATCTTGTGATAATCATAGAGCGATTAGTTTGACTAACATAGCATCTAAAATACTAGCCTCAATAACTATCGTGCCCCTAACTAAGACTTGTGAACTGCAAACACGAGAGAATCAAGCTGGCTTCAGACCTGGTCGTGGCTGCATCGACCACATATTCACCATTCGTCAGATTCCATAACACAGGCATACTTACCGGCGTCCGACAATCGTGGTGTTTCTTGACTTAAAAGTAGCATTTAATTCCGTAGACTGCGAGATTCTGTGGCACTGTCTGTCATGGAAAGGCGTACCTCAGAAGTACATAAACCTCGTGAAGGTTCTTTACTAGAACACTATTAGTCGAGTCAGAGCTTATGGCGAGCTGTCATCTGTCTTTGCAACCTCAAGTGGCGACCGTCAAGGATTTCCACTTTCTCCATTTTTGTTTAACTTCATTATAGACCTACGTTCTCGTTGACTGAATTTTTGGGCATTGATCTCCTTCCAGAGGGTCCACTTATCGACTTAGAATACACAGACGACATAGTCCTATTGGGTGGAGTAGCTGATGAAATACAGAGTCTTTTGGTAGCACTGAGCGACAATGCCAGAATGTTTGGAATGCGCTTCTCTCCCTCTAAATGCAAGTTGTTGCTTTAAGACTGGTCTGCGTCAACACCTGAACTAAGCATAGGAAGTGAAGTAGTCGAACGCATTGACCACTTCACTTATCTTGGAAGACTGATCAGCTTTAATAGGTTGGTGTCTGACGAAAGCTTTGCATGGATTCAGAAAACTCGTTTGACTTTTTCCAACTTACGTCACCTATGGGATATCGGTCTGTCAAATAAAAGACGAGTATACTGTGCGGCAGTCCTGTTCTATATTACGGATGCGAAACGTGGCCATTGAGAGTTGAAAATACTCGTAAGCTACAAGTATTTGACCACAGATACCTTATAAATATTGCTTTCATCTGCTGGGATCACCAGGTAAGTAATAGTGGGTTAGACTCAGGGTATTAGGGAATGATGGTAAATCAGTTGATGAGGTTGTGAATCTTCATCGACTGAGATGGTTGGATCTTGTGTTGCGTATGCCTAAACACCGATTACCAGTGTGCGCAATGCTGACTAATGTTGGAGACGGATGGAAAAAAGGTAGGGGCGGCCAAACCAAAACGTTACATAGTCCATAAAATCAACAAGTGCTGGTTTGAGCCGTGTTGGTAGATGCAGACTACTTGGTTGGGGTCCGCGCGACTATCGTAGCCAGTGGTTGGAGACTCTGGGTAACATGGCTCAGAATTGGTCACAATGGCGTCGGTGTATACACTCTCTGTCTTCCCTTAAACTAAGAGATCAAAATTCGCTTCATATCTTTCTTTCTACGAACTAATTCTTTCTTCCTGTACTATATCCTTATATGCAATCTTTCTTTTATATATTACCACCATTGAATTAACTACTCAAATAGATACTTTTATTCGTATATACACATACTCTATATTGAATCTTATCTTGACACTGTTTTTGTTAATTTACTACTCTTGATATGTATTCGCCAGTAATATTACTGGTTTGTAAAAAGTAATGTCTAAACTTTTTAAAAGTAAGATTAAGTGTACCAGGCATGTTTTATTTTAACATACTAGGTAACTGTTGTCTCTGACAGAACACCTGGATCTTGTGACCGTATTCTTCGAATAATTGATGACAAATGTTTCCGTTCACATTGGGATTTTTGGCAAGCTTCTGAAATACGTTGTCCCGATTCAGCTCAGCCTTTATTATTTGATTTCTCATATGAATCTGAGATGAGATTAGTTGATTTAAGGTCTCTCTCGAATCAAATGACGTATGTTCTGAACAGGAATCGTATAATGAGACCTCATCCATTCCATATGGTGCTTTGTGGTTTAAAACAAGGAACAAATCAGTTTGCTTACATGGAAGAAGCTTTTGGTGTGAATGCGAAGGTTTGTCTATTTAATTTTTTTAGTCATAAGTAACCATCATAAAAACTTGTTCACGATATTACTATTTGTAGATTTTTTTGTATATAGTGATAATATCATGTAAATTCAGAAGTCAGACATTATGTTGAAATACAATGAAGACGTTTTTCTATCACTAAGACCATCTAAAAACACCGATTTAAACAGCTTGACGCTTACATATTATACACTATATCTGTTCATTATTTCACGACTTAGGATGAGTAGTATTTCTGAACTAGTGTTTGTAAGTGCATCCTGACTTTGAATGGTTTCCTGAAGTTCAAATATGATTCGAAATCTCACTTATTGGTGATCCTGTCACAATTTTTCAAAAAATCTATGTCAACAGTCCTGTCTTTTCTATCCATACAATCTCGTATTAACCAAATGTCTAACTTTCGAATTATGCTAATTAATCACTTGATTAATTGAGATGAATAATTAAGATGATTATTGATACTTTCCGTACTATATTTGATCAACAAGCTTTCTAACTTACAGTCTTATGTCTCATTCTTTTGATGTACAATATAAAGCTATCAACTATTAAAAGCTTGAACGAGCTTCCGTGGACGATCACTCCCAATCATTTTTCCCATGAATATCCTATTCATGATTTAGAACAGCCTGTTATACTGTTGTCGCCAAATGCACGTCAAACATTTGAAGCTGGTGAATATGACCATAATGCTGCTTATGTCATTGGGGCAATAGTGGATAAAGCTGTTCGAAGACCAATTTCTTCTGCAATAGCTCGACAGTTACGTAAGTATTAACCGATTTACATTTGGTAATTATCGAGAAAAGATCAGAGTTTATTGCGTAAGACTGAGTATTAACTTAATGGACTCATATTCTCAGTCTTTGTTCTTATATTTTTCGTATCGTGTAAATAACAAAATACAAAACTTCAGAAGCCAAGTTAGGCAAGTAGAGTTCCCTTATCCTTGTTTTCAGTAGCATTCAGATAAATCAAGCCTTGATTCCATCGAAAAAGGTGTCGTGTCACTGCCTAACAGATTAAGCGATTAGCAATTCCAAGGTTCCTTTTAATTTGTTTTTCTAGGTTTCGATTTGTACCATTTATTTCCTCCTTATATTGGCTTATATCTTGCTATATTCGTAGTAATTTATTCTCAACCCTAATCTTAAATTTAGAATCTATGATTTAATATTCTAAAGTCTTTTTTTCAACTTGTCCCTTGTAATCTGGAGATTCTTATTTTTTGGGTTTTGATTAGTTGCTTTGTAGGTGTTGTTTTTCTCGCTGCTCATAGTAGTGTGTATATAATAACATCGATATCTGTGTTATTTCGGAAGCATTTACGAATAATCAACTATAAACGTTCTGTTTTTTTATTGTTGTATATGTATATCACCAAACGTTTGCATCCTCGTGTAATAATTTGAAATTTACCTGGTATACTAAGGCAATAATTCCGTGCTCCATGACGAAATCCATCTTTCTACCACAGTACAATATCACTTCGTCAGAGGTTCTGAAACGTAAAGGGAACTAGTAAAAAGTACCAGCTACCAAATATTCGCAGCAATATTGTTTAAACGATTCATATTAAAGGAAGCCTCTAGTAGTATTCATTAGTATACTACTGCATACTGTTTCGATGTGATCTATCAGATTTTGATTGTGATATGCAATCTTCCAACTGACTACTATATATATATATATATTCTGTAGAGACTTAAGCCACCAATGGCGTGTCTCACTTTTTAGAAATAAAAACCATTTCTTGACGTATCATTTAGCTGAAATTTGATTGTCACAATGTATCATACAGTCACTTCCCTGTTAGCATCCTCAAGTCAGTTGACTTGTATTCATATCGTTAAAGATTTACTTGAAAAGTGGTGTATACAAAATATGTAGATATTTTTACTTTTATGATAGAGATAAGTCCCCTGAATAGCGGAAAAAGAACTTTTTCCACTTTATCTATCGAATCGTATAATCTTGATTTCACTAGTATGGTTTATCTTCCCAAATACATTAAACATTGGGTTGTTATTTACATTTAACCTTTTTTCTGTTTCTATACTACCCTAGTTGTGATTATTCCTTCTTTATGTTTCCCTTCGTGAACTTTATTATTATTATTTTTGGTGGTTTACACCCTCGATGTAGCTAGGTCGTTAGATAATTTGTTTATATTTTTATTAAGGAGTATTCTTGTAATAATTACACGTAAGGACTTTGTTTCTTTTCAGTCCCGTAATAATGCGCTTTATGCATTTTTGTTCTTTTTAACAACACCTGATGTCTTCAAGGCATAAAATGTGTCAGTTTACCTTTGGATCGCTATATAAAATGGGGAAGTGGCAAAAGCAAAACACTATCCATAAACTGCATTCATGCGATAATGTGTGCAGCCAAGGAAACTAACGGAGACTGGAAGAGAGCTCTACTTGAAAATATTCCTTCACGATTTTATGCTCTTCCGTCAAAAGAATCTGTTGTATATAAAAGTACATAAAGCCGCATTTGTCTTTACGTATGCTTTTTGATAATACATAATCTTTCTTAATGTGTAAGTAGTCCAATTCATAGTACTTTAATAGATGTTAACGTAGCTCTAATATTGCGCAAACATACGCCAGTTACTTTTGATATTCTTAAATTACGTATACGACATTATTTGTTTATAATGTATACAATACCGAGAACACTTTCATTTCATCAACTAATATCGCAGTCTTTTTTTTGCATATGAGTACCAAGTCGGATAGAAAACCATATATAGTGTCTGGTACATTTTCAAACCTAGTAAATTATAATGGGTTTCGCGTAATGCATGCAATTGGTTAAGCTGTTTGAATGCATCAACGTACTGTAAAATGTGGTAGATTTAGTTGTCGTCTCTACAGTTTGTTTTAAAGCTATTCCTTGATATTGATCTGGAATCTTCGTAACTAAAGATCGTTATGTCAATTGAACGGTCTATGTTAATACAAACACCTGTCTTTACCCTTTTATTGATCGTTTAACAACGCAAAGTAGTAAAGCTACATTATTAACATGTATTATACTTGTCGGCCTGATGTTATAAAACCGTCGCTTGAACTATGACATTAATTTCGTAAAATCGATGGCAAGTAAAGCTCTACTGGACTCGTGCTTTGTAGACTACCTGGAGGTAGAATATTTAGTTATTGGTTTTAAAAATTCATGTATTGAGATGTTTTTGATAACCCTGACAAGCTAATGGTAGTTTTCTTGAATTTTTTATGTGCCAGAACACGCTAATAGCCGTAACGGTTCTAAGCTGTTCTCCAGCCACTGTATTAGTACTAACGAGTATGATTAATGTATAAGTTAAATTGAAACTTTGGTAATGTAAGTTTACTAGGTCAAGACGCCTACAAATTAGGACTGCTTTTGGGATGAACACAGTTGTTTGCTACATTTACGCTATCTTCAAAATAATTGCACTTCTCACTTCTCAGATTTTAGTGCAAAGTCTATCCATCCTGTTGTGTGTGATTGATATAGAGCTAGTCATTTCAAACGTAAGTCGATTTTCGTTTCCTAATTAGAAGTTATCATACTAACGAATTATCATCTAAGAGACCTTATGCAATAGTATGATTTGTATAATGTTCTGCTACAGTCTTTTACTATATCAGTAAGGTGTTCATACATTATTCTTGACTACTTGATTGAATCAGTTCAAGTTGCGGTCACACAAAGGTACCAGTCTGTAACACAAGTAACGTGTACACTCCCATTAGCTGAAATAGTTAGTGTTAATTTAGTTTCACAATATCAATATTGGTCCATTAAATTAATGATAAGAATGTTAGTTTAATCAAGTGCGAGTTCTTCAGATTTCACTGAAACTTAAGTTTTGATTGTCTGCCCAACTGATAAGCCTGAACCTATATTCTGTCGATGGTTAAAACATTACGTGGAGTTACTCATCAACAGTAGCAAGAGTCTTATTTGTTAAACCGGAGTATCACTTTTAAAAGCTATTATTCACCCATTACATGCAACAATCAGCTCGTGGTATACAGCCTTTCCTTTTAAAACTGAATGATCAGGAATTTATCATTGTTTTATATGCTCACTATAATTGTCTTATTTTGTTGAAAGCACAGAGAGACCATACTACAATATTATCATACTATTCACAGTCAAATGTGTAGCCTTACACCGATATTTCCAAATATAAATTCATAAAGTTGTAGAAATAAGGAAGCATTACGGAAGTCTCTCAAGACTTAGAAGAGCAGTCATTATAAACCGCATGACAAGTCATTGATGGAAATGTCATCCTCTCATCTTATACAAGTATTCTGTCGATGTACTGCGTCCTAAATGCAAATTGAATGTGACATAAGTTGGTGGTCAAAGTTATAGTAGAACACAAGCTTTAGATAGAGTGATACAATATGTGGACTTTTTTTCCACTATAAAAGATTTGCATAAGTACGTGAACGTAGAACGGGTGAGGTAACATGCAATGCGATAGTGAAAATAAAGTGACTAATTAAAAATTTAGCTGTTATTTTGGGAAAGTGTCATTTGTCAACATAAAGTAATCGGGTCATGATGCTTACTTAAATATTAAACCGCAATAGACTGAATGACCACTTTAAAACCATTTTTCCGGAATAAACATTTTATTAGAATTACGCAAACTTTCCAGGGAAAATGAAGTATTTAACAAAAGTTGACTGAACTCTTCAGTTCAGGTTAAGTTTCGAGATATATAAACGTCTCACACTCCGCCTTGCAAAAAAACACATGTAGAGATTTACAACAGTGTAATTCAGTTAAAATCATCTTTTCCAGTTAACATCTCGTTTAGTTTTGAAAGTGTATCTCTACACATATGAATTTCACTCAAAAGTGTATCTATGTTTTCGAGTTGTTCCATGAGTTCTACTATAAGCCTCTGAATTATTTCGTCATCCATGATTTCTTGTTTTTGACTTTGTGCTTCTAAATCAGCAAAAAACGTAGATACCTAAGAACAAGTTACTGTCCAGATCCTATCTGTTGTTACTTTATCGATCACAAACTGCTTACACTCAGCCATCTCTCTTCGATATGTATCGCGACATGTTTGTATTCTTTCTATTGCATCGTTTGCCTTATCTTCAATTAACTTCCTAAGTTCCTTTGTATCCATTTCCGCGCTCTCACTAGACATTGCGCAGTAAAAGGTATAGAAGTTGAAATGTTTCCTTTTGGTTATTTAAAACAAGCCTGCACTTCTTAAATGTAATTAATTTGAATAACAGTTATCGTCAAAGCAACAATCTTTTATATTTCTTCCCCAATATTCAAAGGTATGACAAGTAAACTGACGATACTATTGTTAAGTCTAGACGAAACATTGAACTAAGCTAATCAACACCTTAGCAGTTCTCTACCGAGATCATTAGTCGATATTATATGCATACACAGATATATGTTTATCATACAACCCTAATCATGTCTAAAACAAAAAAGATTAAATGTCGAACTTTTCACCTAAATTAACACCGAGAGATAATTATTTAATTATGCATACACTTTAAACCAACTTATCAATCGACATTTTGTTTTCTCACTATTTGCCTACTTTATCTATCAGATTTTACGTGAAAATCACATGATATTTTATTCTGACTCGTTCTGTGATGAATTCAGTAATTTGTTATTTATTACTTCTGAAATGCATATTAAGACCGGAAGAAGACTATTGTGTGTTGGTGTGAAAAACAAAAAATATTACATGGGGTAATCATATATGTATGGCCGAAATATACCATACAGATTAAGTTTTCCGCGTTCAACATTTCTGACCATTTCTATGCTACTATATTACATACTTACTTACTCATGTTACTGTCAATGGAGCATAGGCCGCCGGCAAGCACAATCCAACCCCCTCTGTCCTGGGCCTTCTTTTCTGGTTCCATTCAATTCTTGTTCATTTTTCTCATGTCTATCTCCATTTCCCGGCGTAATGTGTTCTTTGGTCTTCCTCTCTTCCTTTGGCCTTGGAGATTACAAGTGAGGGCTTGTCTTGTGACGCAGTTGGGTGCTTTCCTCAATGTGTGTCCTATCCACTTCCAGCGCCTCTTCCTAATTTCTTCCTCCGCTGGGATCTGGTTTGTTCTTTCCCACAGTTGGTTGTTGCTAATAGTGTCCGACCAACGGATCCGAAGTATTTTGTGTAGACAACTGTTAATAAACACCTGTATTTTCTGGATGATGGCTTTCGTAGTTCTCCAGGTTTCCGCCCCATACAGTAAAACTGTCTTGACATTTGTATTGAAAATCCTGACCTTGGTATTGGTTGACAGTTGCTTTGAGTTCCAGATGTTCTTCAATTGTAAATATGCTGCTCTTGCTTTACCGATCTACGCTTTCACATCTGAGTCAGATCCACCATGTTCATCAATGATGCTGCCCAGATAAGTAAAGGTTTTTACATCTTCCAAAGCTTCTCCGCCAATTGTGATTGGGTTGGTGCATGCTGTTTTGTATCAGAGAATCTTGCTTTCTTCCTTGTGTATGTTGAGACATACTGCTGCCAAGGCTGTTGCCACATTTTTCGTCTTCTCCTGCATTTGTTGTTGCAATTGCGATAGGAGGGCCAGACCATCTGCGAAGTCTAGATCGTCCAGCTGCATCCTAGATGTTCACTGCATCCCAAGCTCCCCCCTAGATATTGACGTCTTCATGATCCAGTCGATCACCAGGAGAAAGAGAAAGGGTGAGTGTAAGCAACCTTGCCTGACACCGGTCTTTACCTCGAACGACCTTGTCAACTGTCCTCCATGCACGATTTCACAGTTTAATCCATCATATAAATTCTGTATGATTTTGACTATCTTCTGAGGCACGCCGTAGTATCGAAGAAGCTTCCATAGTGTTGTTCTGTCCACGCTATCAAATGCTTTTTCGTAGTCAATGAAGTTGATGTGGAGTGATGAATTCCATTCAATTGATTGTTTCACAATGATCCGTAGAGTTGCGATTTGATCTGTACACGATCCATCCTTACGAATCCTGCCTGTTGGTCACGAAGTTGGGTGTCTACGCAGTCCTCCATCCTGTTTAACAATACCCTGTTGAAGACTTTTCCCGGTATGGAGAGAAGAGTGATGCCCCTGTAGTTATCACAGTTGCTGAGATCGCCTTTCTTTGGTATTTTGATCAGAAGTCCTTCTTTTCAGTCTGTTGGTACTTGTTCCTCATCCTATATCTTATTGAAGAGAATGTGGAGTATCCTTGCAGTTACTGCTACGTCTGCTTTCAGTGCCTCTGCTGGAATGTTGTCTAGTCATGCTGCTTTGCCACTCTTGATTTGTCTGATGGCCATGCTGATTTCTTCAATTGTTGGTGGGCCAACATTGATTGGGAGGTCCGTGGATGCTGCTTCGATATTGGGTGGGCTCAGTGGGGCTGGTCGATTCAAGAGTTCTTTGAAGTGTTCTACCCACCTGTTTCATCGTTCTTCAATGTTGGTGATTACCTTGCCTTCCTTGCTTTTCACAGGTCGTTCTGGTTTGCGGTGATTTCCATACAGTTTCTTTGTTGTGTCACACAGTTGTCTCATGTCTCCTTCTCTTGCAGCCTTTTCCGCAGTCATTGCTAAATCTTCCACATATTTACGTTTGTCAGTTCTGATGCTCCTCTTCACTTGCTTGTTTACTTCTGTGTACTCAGCTTGTGCCTTGGCTTTCTCTGCTCTTGTTCGGCTGGTATTGATTGCTGCATTCTTGTTCCTCCTTTCTTGAATTTTATCCAGTGTACCAACAGTGATCCATTCCTAGTGATGTTGCTTCTTGTGGCTAAGGACCTCATGGCATGTTGAAGTGATTGCCTCTTTGATCCCTTTGCAGTTGCTCTACAGTGTAGTTCTTTTATAAATTGTGGCCTGTGTGTCCTGGTAATATATAATGCAACGATACTGCCAATCCGAGAGCAGTGAATTATCGATGAGACTAATGAAGCCAAAACCCGCCAGAGCACTCTGGAGTCCTGATTGCTCCTTCTTTTCGCCTAGCTCAACTAGTTGTATCCAGAACAACAATCTCAGCCTGTACAATATGCAACATTCATCTTAAGCAAAGTGGGCTTTTATACCAACCAGACAGACTACACCGTACCATAAAATATGAAAAATGTGGAATAATTAGCCAGACGTGGCTGTGAATGTGGGTGGTAGTAATTAATAGACAGGGCATAATTCAAGAATGGTAGATCGTTTAATAATAGTTCATATGTCAAAATAAAGCTCAGCATAAGAGGGACATTAATATGAACAGTCTAGATATTTACCAACTATACAATAAAAATATACGCTAGTATTGTTCCATAAATGGATCCAAGAATCACCATTCATTATGCTCATCAGGATCTAACAAGTTCCCTCTGCGTCGAGTGAATCGTGAAAAGCCCTGAACCTATTACTGAAAGCTATCTTGAATTTGTCATATCCCGAAGAGATGCCGTATTAAACTTTTTAACGTCGTCCACCCCGCTGTCGTGTGCTCCTTGAGTTCCTATTTCCTGTTTATGGCCAGGAAGTGATGATCTGTGGCTAATGTCATTCCGTGTAACTAAATAAGTGGTTGCTCGGTTTTATCGGCCTCGCGACTTCTGCAGGAACTCCACTTTTGCTATGAGGTGTCATAACTCTTCTAAATGAAGACCTAACTAGCCGGATAGAATTTAAATTGTCTGAATTATTTTTTCTAGGTAGCGTTCTTTCAGGATGTTAGTTTTCTAAAAGACGTGGCCACTAAATCCATGCCCAAACTTCTCCTTTATCAAAACTCCGGAGACTGTCAGTAGCACCAGAGGGGCTCCAGGCTCCAAAATCCCTTCATTTTCATACTTATTGATATCGTCGTAATTGGTTCCTTGACTTATAATTTTTTCTTCCTATTTGTCTATCCATTCTGAATCAATTTTACTTTTAAACACCCGGAGTCTTTAACTGACACAATATCCTGTTTTACACGTGGTCGAATACAAAGATTATTCAGATTCATATTATCTTCGCCACGTATATATGACCAATGCAAATTGGTATTTGACGATGACCCACTGAGATTAGTTGGATTTTTCATTACACCGTTCTTAACTGTTACTGCAAAATGTTTTATTTTATCATAAAAGTTTATTTCATCACCGACTAGTTTTTTCATTCTTTTCGCCACACATATGGTGCTGATTATCCTTATTAAGTTTCACAAAGATATTTACTAAATTATTTACACATACCGATTTTCTTTCGTCCCATTTCTTTAGACTTAAATTTTTAATACTTCTAACATTACAAAACTTCTTTAAATATGACAGACAATGTGCGAAATTTACATAAACGTGTGTATAAATTTGTTTCTGAAACCATAAAAGGTTTCTCAAAAATTCTGTGTACACATAATCCGTTTATGAATTGCAATAATAATAAGTAAACAAAGGATGTCCGACTTCGAACTCGATACCATTCTCTCAAGAATTTGGGACGTTATCTATCAAACTATTATTAACAGATGACGATTGAAATATGTAGATTGTCGTATCGAATAATCCTCTGTTCGATAGCGCTAGTAGTATCGGTTGAGGACTATACATTCATTCAAACCAAAGATATGATTGATAGAAAGATTTGTAATCAGTATATAATAACATAACTCTGCTTGGGGTCCCTCCGGGGACTACCGCCGGTCCCAAGCCCGGACAAAGGAGGACGGCTAGGCATGGGATTAGCGACCACATCCCGTAGAAAATTAACTCGCCAAAAAACGCTAACCAGAAAAAATTATTCAAACCTTTGAAACTCTGCCCTGGGTGCCAGAAGGTCTTCATTTAGAAGAACTATGACGCCTCATGATGAAAGCCGAGTGCCTTCGGAAGTTACGAGGCCGATGCCCTTTCTGACAACCAGAGCAACCATTTATTTGGGTACATGGAATGTTCGTGCGATGTTGGAGACCGGAAGAGTCTTCCAAATTGCCGCAGAAATGAGAAGATACAACCTGGAGGTGTTCGGGATCAGTGAAACACATTGGACGCAAGTTGGACAACAATGACTAACTTCAGGAGAGCTCACGTTATACTCCGGCCATAAAGAAGAAAATGCCCCACGTACATGATGAGTTGCATTGATGCTGTCCAAACAAGCACAAAATGCACTTATAGGATGGGGATCTCATGGACCAAGGATCATCAAAGCCTCTTTCAAAACAAAGAAAGAGGGCATTTCAATGAACATCATCCAATGCTATGCGCCTATCAACGACTACAATGAAGACGCTAAAGATCAATTCTACTACTTCACGGTTTTAATATACAATTCGTCGCAACGTTGGAGATCGCAAACAACTTTGAATAGAGACAAAATTACTGGAAACCGTAGTTTTTGAAAATCAAACTTAATTTTCGTCGCAGGCACCGAGAACGAAGATTCTTGTTGTATGTCCCTATCTTGGATGTCTAAATGTTCACAGAGTGTTCTATGTCCTTGTTAGTGAAACTGTTATCATTAAAGTAAATGAAACCAGGTAGAGCAGCTGAACAGTGAAGTAAATTATTACCCAATGAAAATGATACTAAAACTGAACACGCTTCATTAAAGAGGAAACGTAAGTGGTAATAGGGATATTTCGAATCTTTGGCCGGTAATAAACCCATTTACATCATTGGGTTGCTAGCTAAACCTTAGACAGCCGTAGCTGAAACTAAACAAATAGGCGGCTGTCAATACAAAGATGTAAAAACACATATTTGGTAGGAATGCGTTAAATCTGAGGTAGGATGGTACATACAAGCTGTTTGGTTCGTATCATATAATAAAATCATCTGGTGCGTCCAAACAGTAAATTGTTGATGACAGACCCGACTAATTTCTCATATTCACAGTGACTAAAACGGTGTTTCCTTTAGTCACAGAACGCGGTTCAATCTCATACCGCTATTTCCTCACTGTACTTCACATGCTTCTATGGTGCACAAATATTGACAGACTAGCGCTGAATGGTAGACGGAATTTCAAAAGCAATATGGATAGACTATGAATTTATTTACTGCTATAGATTTACACTTAACACATAAGTATCTCAGACAGTGTACACTGTTTTACAAAACCTTTTTCAAATAAAATCTATCGGTTTGAATTTTACTGTGTGGAAATTTAGTGTAATACTCTTGATGCTCTGGTTTGGATGTGGTGTTTATCTGGACGAATGCGTATTGAGTGCCGAGGTTTTTGAATGCGGAAAATATGGATAACTCGTTTACGATGGAAGGCCCTTTAAGCAAATGGACTAATCTCGTCAATGGTTGGCAATATCGTTGGTTTGTGCTTGACATAAGCCTAGGGGTTTTATCTTATTACACGGTTAGTTTTTTAAATTTTGCGGTTTCATACAGTTTCTTCGAAGGGTGAACAATATCACATCCAGAGAAATGGTACAGCGTGTATATTATTGTTAGTTTTAATTCAGCTATCTAACCTTTCCAACATATTACTTGTTTTGCATCTACTTCGGCCAAATATATACACTAATTTTGATAAGAAAGTTTTCTATGTTGGGTGTTAAGATATGTCCATATTCGCCATGAGCTGTGGGTGGCGAGACTCTAATTTAAGGACGACCTTTGAACGAATTTTAAGTGACCTTGACAATTATTAGCTAATCAGAAGACAGTTAGTATAAAGTGAGAATAAATTGTAAGTAATGAATTACAGTGGATATTCTTCTTTTACATGATTTAAAAACTTGTTAAGGTTTGATAAAGGTTCAGAGGCTCTGAATTCATAATGCATATTGTATAGAAACTCGTCCATAGGGTTAGTGGTTAGGGTTGTAGCCTGTCAGTAGACGCCTCTTCTCTAAAATCCGATGTAAACCGATCGCATGTTAGCACTCTAATCCTAACCTAACCCTAAACCCTAATCTAACCCTAACCTTAACCTAACCCTAAACCCTAATATAACCCTAACCTAACCCTAAACCCTAATCTAACCCTAACCTAACCCTAAACCCTAATCTAACCCTAACCTTAACCTAACCCTAAATCCTAATCTAACCCTAAACCCTAACCTTAACCCTAATCTAACCCTAACCAAACCTATCCCTAATCTAACCCAAAAACCCTAACCTTAGCCCTAAACCCTAATCTAACCCTAACCTTAACCTAACCCTTAACCCTAATTTTAACCCCAAACCCTAACCCTATGGACGAGTTTCTATGCAATATGCATTATGAATTCAGAACTTCTGAACCTTTATCAAATCTCAACAAGTTTTTAAATCATGTAAAAGAAGAATATCCACTGTAATTCATTACTTTCTTGTAATATATTTTTACTTTATACTGTCTTCTGATTGGCTAATAATTGAAATTGCTCAAACGCTTCTCATTGGCTCGTCCCTAAATTAGAGTTTCGCCGTCCCATCTGTTGTAACCTTTCATTAATCACCTACTCTCTAAAATCCGCTGTGAACCGATCGTATGTTAGCAGCGCGTGTTGAACTTGGCTCCGTGACCTTGAATTGCTCAAACGCTTCTGATTGGCTCGTCCCTAAATTAGAGTCTCGCCCTGTGGGTTTTTCAGATTCATATTTATGCAGTAAGGACAGAATGCATACAGCCTATGCCATTCTTTTTCTGGTATGCTCCTGTGAGTGTCTAGTCTTCTCTTGAATGAGTCAATTAGAGGTGCGGACACCACTGATTCGGATAACAGGTTCCAAGAATTGATGACTCGGTGTGGAAACCTGTATGCCAAGGCTATTTAATTCGTTCTAGCCTTTTCTACTTGACTGCATCCTTCCAGTCTGTAGGTGACTCACATTGGCCAAGTGATATGCTTAATATCACCGTTAGTGAGGCTGCAATATATTGTGCAATCTGTCTCGGGATTTTGGGATGTAGTTCACACGGTCCTGTTGATTTTTTCGTGTTTGAGGTACTAAGAGCCTTAACTACATCGTCTTGATTGAAGTCTACGGTGAGCAGACGATTTTTTGACGCTACTTGGGTCATGTTCTTGGTCTAGAAGAAGCTCCTGAATGAAAACAGTCTCGAAATATTTTGCCATAGCCTCTGCTTTTTTTTACCACCTATCACTTCAGGTTCACTCTCTCCGGTAATTAGGTTGGGAATCCATTGCTGCATCCTTGTTCTGTAATTTATGTATGAGATTAGTCTCCTAGGTTGCTTGATTGCAGTTTGTGCCAACTGTATTCCATATTTTCCCTGAGCTTCCCGGATTTTATTTCTACACTTATTTCTTACCGACCTGTAGCGTTCCATAGTACTTGTTGTGTGAATTCTAATAATAGAGTTACAACAATTTTACTTGTCTTAGTAAATATCGAATATCCTGGCCTATCCACAGATGACCGCGCTTTTGAACTGTTCAGGGTATATATGGTTGAGTTACCCGATTGTATAACTGCCTGAAATGAGTACATACCTCTTCTACTGATGCGCTTCTATCCCTCTAAATGCAAACTGCTGCTTCAGGACTAGTCTGCGTCAACACCTGAACTAAGCATAGGGAGTGAAGTAGTCGAACGCGTTAACAGCTTCACTTATTTTGGAAGTCTGATCAGCCCTAATGGGTTGGTGTCTGACGAAATCTCAGCACGGATTCGAAAAGCTCGTTTGGCTTTTGCCAACTTACGTCACCTATGGCGAAGGCGAGATATCCGTCTATCAATAAAAGGACGAGTATACTGCGCGGCAGTCCGTTCTGTTTTAATTTACGGTAGCGAAATATGGCCATGAAGGGTATAAGATACTCGTAAGCTACTAGTATTTGACCACAGATGCCTCAGAGATATTGCTGGCATCTGCTGGGATCACCAGGTAAGTAATAGTGAGGTTCGACGCAGGATATTAGAAAATGATGGTAAATCAGTTGATGAGGTTGTGAATCTTCATCGACTGAGATGGTTGGATCATGTGTTACGTATGCCTGAACACCGATTACCACGACGCGCAATGCTAACCAGTGTTGGAGATGGTTGGAAGAAAGTGAGGGGCGGCCAATCCAAAATGTGGCATCAGTGCTTGAAGTCACTAACTCCTAGTCTGAGCCATGTTGGTAGATGCAGACTACTTGGTTGGGGTCTGCGTGACTATCGTAACCAATGGTTGGAGACTCTTGTTGACATGGCTCAGAATCGATCACAATGGCGTCGGTGTATACACTCTCTGTCTTCCCTTAAACTAAGAGATCAAAATTCGCTTCATATCTTTCTTTCTACGAACTAATTCTTTCTTCCTGTACTATATCCTTATATGCAATCTTTCTTTTATATATTACCACCTCTGAATTAACTACTTTTATGAATCCGGTGTCCATCTTGTTGTGTAAATGAGGTATGGCAACTTGGACCGATGCATATATGTGCCTGGTCCTACGTTGTAGCTGACTAACTGCATAGGAGTCCATTCTCCAGTTTTCAACCGATGCTACAGAGTTTATCGCCTCCATTTCTGCCTTTCATATGTTAGGACGGGTCGGCGCAACTGTTTGACAGAACAACTGATCCATAAACTTAAGTAAGATGATTGTATGGTCTTTTTCCCTAGATATGGAGGGAAAATCATTCGACTGACGTCATCACCGTGAGTGAATACTAAATTCAAGAGAGACGGGGAGCTTCGTAAGTCATTTGTGGTGGGATCTCTAATATGCTGTAATAAAGCTAGTGCAATTATGGTTTCTAGCGATTTTAATCAAATGACGTTGTTGATGACCCTACTTCTAAGTTTGTCCAGTGCATTAAAGTTGCCTACTGTAACACTTTTACCCCTATTACACCAAATTGCTTAGGAGGAAGTCATCTAATACACGTTTTGGACTGCGATATACTACAACTAATTCATTATTTTGCCGTCTACATTTCAACCTGCATCGTACCAGTTTATATGTCCCTGAATCATGTACCGCTGTCCCAACAGCTCGTATGGCTGAAGTACTATTCGTGTACAGGGTAACTTCACCTCCCCTATGGTTTAGTCTATTAGTCCTACAGGATAAATCCAATCAACTGAATTTCACTATCAAACATTTCTGACGCTAACCATGTTTCTGAGACAGCACTGATATTCGGTTTTTCTATATCCACCATTGTTTTGAGCTCCGCCATTTTATTTAGTAGACTGCGAGCATTTGTGTAGCACACCGTTAATTCTGTGAAGAGCTTCGAAATTTTACGATATGAAAACCCTTAAGTCCGAGGTTTTTCATCGTTTCGGCGACGCTTATTTGTTTTTACTTCTGCCGATCGTCTCTTAATGCGGTCAACCAGGCTGAGATCTTCGCGGACGTATATTCCAGATCCGATCAGTTTGCGTGTGTTTCCCAGTATCAAGTTTCTTCAACCAAAGCAAAGGTAACTTTTAAGAGGCGGCTTTTCTAAGTACTTTCAGAATCCACCTTTTGTCTTATTCTATAAAGCTTACAGATGCTAACTCCTGAAACTGTTTCTGGGAGTAGCTTGCTTATTAAGGACTTAATGTAGCTTAGGTCGTGCTCAAAACTAGCCTTTGGTTCCTTTTCGAGAGATTCTCTTATGAACAATGATTGACCTGTCAGCGAGGTCCGTCCTAACCCGCTGTAGAATTTTAATTTCTGAAATCTCCCTGCGATCCGATTTGGCGTCAAACGTATAGGTCTCACTCTATTTTCTTACTTTTATTTTTCTGCATGTGACTGTAAACCAATCATTTACCTTATTTTGTCTCTTGATCACACACTGAACATAAACAAAACCAGAGGTTTGTATATTAGTGTATTTAACAATGAAAAAAAATCCGACCTCAGTAGTTACAAAAAGACCTTAACACTTTGGATACAAACAATACTAAAAGATATACTCAACGAGAAAATAAAATACCACTGCCCTTTATATCTGTACTCAAAAAGTACATATGATAAAGTTCTCTAGAAAAAAGCTATTTTCTCGGAGATTATTTTGATTGAAATAAATTCAATTGAAGCAAAAACAGTAGTCTTGATGCGTAATTAAACATTCGACAACTTCACTCACTATGCTTAGCCCACAAAAGCCCTGGTACGGCCAAGAGTAAGGGGAGTCCGCTCTCCCTCTCGAAATGCTATCACATGGCCATGCGTATATAGCCTCTACCAGGGAAGTCCTACTCACTGACTTCTCGTGGCGGGGGTGTTGTTTACGAAAATGAGAGGACGAAAAACGAATGTCCGGCGCCTTAACCGGGTTGGTGGACATAGAGAGTCCACCTAGGGGAGTTGGAAAACCCTGATTCCAAACAAATGGTGCTCATGGGCTCCAGTATCCTGAGGGAACAAATGTCGTATGAACCAATTGTTGGTCACCGGCTTCCATGGGACTGCATCTCCTCACGTTGCTCCACTTTCTTGTTGATCAGACCTTCGGGTCGAGGGCTCCGGGTGTGGCGTCCTAAGAAAACCACTTGCTTCGGTTTGGGCACCCGGGGAGTATCACAGCCCTCACACATATCAAATGAGATTTGTGTGGCGCATATGTATTTGGTGCCTCTTTATACCAATATCCATGTGCTAAAATAAATAAATAAATACACTAGTAAGGGCGAACTTTTCTACTGAAGGTATATTAACCTCAGTTGATCACTTGACTGCCATGTATCACAACATAGAGTGCCTATGTTTATCACTTCCAAAATAACGTCCATCTGTCAGTAAGGTTTGGAACCGTCCTAAACATGGGTTGTGACACTTACCTAACCTGAAAAGAAATGACCAAAATATCATTTAGATGATTTAAAATTACGAGCGCATAAAAATGTTTAGCCGAAAATTAATTCTTAAAAATAATAACTATATCTATCTGAGCTTTTCTGAGTTTAGCATAAACCTCTGTCAAGTGTTCAATGGATGCCATAGTTTGTGTAATATCAGTGAGCACGGTATTTGTCACAGTGAACTCATTAATGAACCCATAAAATGTGGACGAAGCGTGAATTACTGAGACGGTTTTATAAATTACATAACTAAGTCTGAATTAAACTGAACGTATGCAAGATACTTCTGCTCCTACGAAGAAACTAACACAATAGATGTTTGAAATCGAACTTTGTAAATAAGGTGTGTCTAGCTAAATCATTCCTGGAACTGGCAGGAAATGCTCACAGCATCTTCATACTGTCAAATATATTCATTACCAACCAAACACTAACCATATTATTATATTACATATTTCTACGTACATTGCATCGTTTATCAAATTATTCGGCAAATCTGAGTAATAAGTACATTCTTAGTTGGTAGATTGTTTATCATCCACAGTAAGGAGATTGAAGCAGTCTTACTCATGCATGGATTTAAGCCTACGTGTGGTACATCCATTTCTGTTTGAACCGGTGGGACACAATAATCACGTTACTTGGTATTTATTACGAACAACGTCTTGTAACCTCACCAATTTAATATACATTCCCTCACAGAATCGCCGTAATAAACAGACAGTAATGTTGATTTAAGAATTCTGTTCTGCTAATGTGAACTTTTTGTGGTAATTCCTTACTAGATCTTTGTTAGCGTGATATAGATTGGATAAAGGATTTTCCGAGCAGTATTGTATTGGGTCATCTTGATTGGCTAAGTAATAGCCAATCAACTGTAACAGATATTTGGAGACGACTCTAACAGCTTCTTGTGTAGAATTATAAATATTACTAAAGTTTTTTTGTAATGCTTCCTACCTCTATTCGCCTGTGTTTATTTGGGATATAATCACATTCCTGTTCTGATTCGGGGACTTGTCAAATGAAGTAGTGTCCGAGGAATATTAAGCAATAAGTAACTAGGTCGTAAAAATAGGGATCTTGACAATCTTGTTGGAATTTCACCTAATCCAAACTTTCACGTACGTATGATTTACATTATAAGTTAGATATTGACTTGAGTCTTGTTCAAACGGTTAACGTCTTTATTGTTGTTATGGGTGAATATCTCTTTAAAATGTTCAGTCTTTGACTAGCTTATGTTAGTGCAGCATAAAGTAGTTTTAAAATCCTTGTTTTTTCTCTTTGTTAGTCTAAAGAGAAGATGATGCGGGGCGATAGACGTGGATGTGTAAAGTTAAAAAATGCTCAAGTTGGGATTGATGATGAAGATGATAGTACATTCACCATAACCGTTGATCACAAAACATTTCACTTCCAAGGTAACCGTACTGATTTATTCTCCGTCATCGCTACACTTTTTTTTTGAAATTTCAAACTGCTCTGTATAAGATTGCCCAACTGATTTTTCTGTGGAAATTGTGTTTGACTTGTACCAGATGGTTATAGACAAGAAACGGTATAAACATCCAGGGACTTAGAAAATCAAAATATTAGTCAATGGTTGATGGGGTTTTTTGAGAGGATATATCTATGGTGGTTTTTCTCAGTACGGTATGGAAATCGGAAGTAGATAACACTATCTGATTCGGAGGTGAATTTTACAACCTACAAACTTTGACCACGAAAGTACCCTTCATACATTTATACTACCAATTTCATGTTTTACCATTAGCCTTTACTTACCGTTAAAACTTAAACGTGATCATTCAGGATGGGGTACTTTAAGGATTATGTTACTTCATGATCATTATTTAATCTGAAAGTTCAGAATATATCATTCTTGATAAAGACAATTATTATCAGTATAATATACCCATATCATACCAAATTAACGTCATGTATTATGAAAGATTTATACCCATTACTTTCAGATCAACTAAGTATGGTTTATTCCTGACCTCAAGCTTCCTTTCAGCTACTTTTCTCTGTCCCTGTCCCAGAAGTGCGGTATTGTTCTTCATCGACTGAGATGGTTGGACCACGTGTTACGTATGCCTGAACATCGATTACCAGTGTGCGCAATGCTGACTAATGTTGGAAACGGATGGAAGAAAGTTAGGGGCGGCCAATCCAAAACGTGGCATAGTAAATAAAATGACTAACTTCTGGTTTGATCTATGTTGGTAGATGCAGACTATTTGGTTGGGGTCCGCGCGACTATCATAACCAATGGTTGGAGACTTTGGGTGACATGGCTGAGGATCGATCACAATGGTGAAAGTGTATACACTCCTTGACTTCCCTTAAATTGGGATTAAAACTGCTTTATTTTATTTGCATAAAAAAGGTCTATGTATTTTCTATATGATTACTCGTGTTTATGTCTTACCACTAGGATAATAAAGTTTGTGTGTTTCTTAAATCTGATTAGTTCAGTGTGGGTATTTGTTCACTGTTGTTTATCTGTTAAGATTTGGACTATTGAGTGGATTTAGTCGATGTAGTATAACAACACAGATTAGTAGATTTTTTTGGTTGGTCCAGGCTTTCGTATAACAGGATAAATATGTATTTATTTGAACTTTCTAGTTGTGCTCTATGCATTGTGTGAGGATTTTCCTGAACATTTCACACTGACTTATTAGTCATACCTTTGTCACTGATGAGTTTGACATTGAGTAGGATTTTCCTGTACAAAATTGTATTTTCATAAATCAATTTTAGTTCATTTACACAGTCATTTGGAGTACTACTTTATTTTAAAATAAGGTTGCATTTGAATATAAATGCCTGTTCACAACACGTGGTTGCTTATCCTTTAATCATCGATACTGTTTTTTATTTGAGTATTAACGCTTAGCAGTCATATGATTATACTTATGTACTTATCAGTAGGCTTATATACTTCTGAGTGTTTGAAAAAATAAAATAACTGTTAAATAATATTTTGTATAAGCTACTTCACAAATAACATTTTCTTCTCAATTTCGATGTAATATGGTTTACATATCCGGTCAAAATATTAAAGTAACAATAATCCGTATTGTGTAGTTAAAACTTAGTTGTTCGACAGATTACTTAGTTACACTTTATTTTATTTAAACTTTTTATTTAGATACATTGATATTCGTTAATGAGCTAAATCTAGTGACTAGTATCGCGTACGAAACCGCAGATCACCATTTTTCTGATCATTATGAAAGTTGATTAACAATATTAGTTACAGTTAAAAATTTCCTGTTATTTAGTGTCACGCTCTTCTTTTCATTATTCACTGTCACTTAAATGACTTGACCCTAGATTGCGTGGTGATTAGTATTGCTTTGTTGTAGAAAGGATGACTTAAAACTCTAAGCCTAAGTTTTAATACCACCAGCCCTAAACTAGTTACATGAAATACGGATAATAACGTCTAGTTGTTCATCTCGAAATAAAAGTACAAATCGAAACCAAGGATTTACATGACTGTTATCATAAGATATTCGCTTTCCAAACTTGTATATGTTTTGATAAGGAGAAATGTGTGTGTAAAGTTTCCATGGGATTCGCAAACTTTTATTTATAGATTATAACTCATTGTTACTTTAGTGAAAGTTAAGCCGAGTGAATACAGTAAACCTTGCTGCTTTAACTAAATCATTGTTTATTTTACTAGTTTCGTAAATCATTTTGTATCTGATCTTTATCCAGTTATTATAAATATCAATTTTTTCTTTAGCTCGTAACTCAGATGAACGTCAAAAGTGGCTAGACGCTTTACAGGAGGCTAGGGATTTACATACGCAGAATTATGCTCTTCTGAATCAGGTTAGTGATTATATAAAGTTATTTTTATTCAACTTAGTAGTCTATTTAGTCAATATGCTCAAGTCATCTAACCAATCTCATTTTATTTGCATGTGCTATTTTTGTGTAGTCATACGCGGTAATTGTCTTTTTTTAGTTTTTAATGACAGGTAATTTTCGATTAAATTTAAAGTAAATAGACGAATTTGAGTTAACACGTTGCAACACTTTTGTATAAAGAAATCATAGATTTGATAATGCAATCTTATTAACCCCTTAATAATGTCAACTGTACAGACTACACCGATGATAATTCTAAATATATTTTTTAATAACTAGATTTCTCTAACAGCACATAAATACTTACAAACCACTTAATAGGCAAAAATATTCTATTATAAATATTCTTACCGTTTTAAATTACTCACTGTAAATATTGAAAATATTGTACTCTAGATTCGTCCTTCACTGACTATAGTTCATATAATGTCTATATGTTTGTCATTGATGATTGAAATATTCGTTTTTATATATAGATACTTTTTTGTTTTTTTATCATCAACTTGCGGTTACGTTCACGGAACGTAGCATATACTGCTTCTTCCCTCTACCTGATTCGTGTGTCTGGTGAAAGTGATTCAGGAAAGTATTAAATAAGAAAACTAAAAGTTCTGTTGATGCTAATGGTTTAATCATTAAAGGATCTAGCACTACAACTCATCGGTACAAATCTCTTCGTTTTGACGGTTTAGTTGAGATAAAACGTACTAGTTCAAGAGAAACCAAAAAATTAAGGTAACAAAAATAGTGGAACACAGAAAATTAAATTGGTAGGGGTTTAATTAAAGGTGAAATGTTATTTTGTGCCATTTAGTTTCATACAGATAGAGTCAGTTTTTATCCAGTATCCTGAACTTCAGTCAACACTGGGTGTGGATCGAGTGTTTTATACAGTTCTAGTGTATAGAGTTTCTCTTAAACCCCAAATCTAGGTTGTTGACTAGTATAAAATCTAAGTGTTTAGAGACTGATCGATGTGTATAAACTTAATGTTTCTAGATCTTTGAAATGCAAATTTTAATGACAACAATAATGGTAGAGTTTTATAAAAATCATGAGTGTCACTATGTGAATTCAATTGAATACGATAAATATTATAAAAATGTTAAACAGTTGTTTAAAGATTCATTCTTCCACTGACTGCAGCTCAGACGATGTAAAAGATGAGTTTTACAAAAAGCTTTCCGAACTTCTCCGAAAAGCTAGGCGCTCTGATGTAGTAATAGAGGCTGGTGATTTTAATGCTCAAGTAGGTAAAGTAAGCGAAAGGGAAAGGCTCCTGGGTGAATCTTATGGTGTCGTGGCTCAAAGAACAGATAATGGCGACCGTCTGTTTCAGCTATGTTCAGATAACCGCCTGTTTTTGCAGACACTAATTTTAAGCATAAGGAAAAACATCTTTTAACATGGCGACCCCCTAATTCGTCCCAACATTGGACCCAAATAGATCACATTGCTACCAGCCACCGATGATAGTAGACTGTTGCTCATTCTGGAGCACATGCTTAGACTCAGATCATGCTCTAGTGCAAGCGCGTATTTGCCTGCGTCTTACTGAACGTGGGAAAGATGATACAAGGAAACCCCTTAGGGTCCTACTTGATAATAGTCAGTCTAAGAGTATATTTGAGGAACAACTAGCAAACGTTGGGCAGCCATGTAAGCGATGCCCGCCCCGAGGCAGCGTGGAATGACATCCGAAAAGCTGTGGAAACAGCAGTGATGTCTGCTTGTAAGGTAAACCACAAGGTTAGGGAGAAACACTGGATCTCAGCAGCAACTACCGCACTGATAGATGTTCGAAAACTCATTCCATCTGGCTATGAACATCATGAAGAGCGGAGTCAGCTTAAGTACGAGCTGACAAGAAGTCTACGCCATGATCGCGAACAGTGGTGGGTGACGAAAGCAAGAGAGATGGAAAAGGCAGTGGCAATAGGTAACAGCAGACATGTTAAGGAAACTGGTACTAGGAACCCGAATGTTCGCGAAACAATGTCAGAAAAAGATGAACATACTATTCATTCTCAATCCGGGAGATTGGATCGGTGGGCAGAACACTTTAGGGATCAGTTCAACTGGCCTTCAGTCACACTTCGGTTTTCCACGATCTCCAGTCGAACTGAATGGGGAGTTAATGTAGGTTCTCCCGGACTCTTTGCAAAGTTAAAAAAGCTATAGGAAATCTGAAGCGAGGGAGAGCAGCAGGCTCTGACAGGTTTACTCCTGAGATTTTTAAGGATGGTGGTTCAATATTAGCAGTAAGATTAACTGAGATCTTAGGTAGAATTTGGGAACTGGACGTAATCCCATCTGACTGGTCTCAATCACTGATTGTGCCAGTCTATAAGAAAGGACAAAAGTCCTCTTGTGACAATCACAGAGGAATCAGTTTGACTAATATAGTGTCTAAAATTTTAGCTTCAATAATACTTCGACGCCTAATCAAAACTCGTGAAGAGCAGACTAGAGAAAATCAGGCTGATTTTCGACCTGGACGTGGTTGTATAGATCAGATATTCACACTACGTCAGGTTCTAGAACATAGACACACATTCAGACGCCCCACAATCGTAGTATTTCTCGATCTTAAGGCGGCATTCGACTCTGTTGTTCGTAAGGTTCTATGGCACTTTGTTACTGAAAGGAGTACCAAAGAAGTACATTAACCTTATAAAGGCTCTCTACTCGAACACAACTGGTCGAGTGAGAGCTTATGGCGAACTGTCATCAGAATTGATTACCTCAAGTGGTGTTCGTCAGGGCTGTCCACTCTCTCCATTCTTGTTCAACTTTTTGGTCGACATGCTTTTAGTGATAACACTTTCCTCATCTGACTTTCCAGGGGTTGAACTTCTACTGGGAAATTCACTTTCTGACCTAGAATATGCAGATGACATAGTTCTATTTGGTGAAGACACTGACAAAATGCAGAGTTTTCTGACCACTCTAAGCAACAATGCAAGTATGTTCAGAATGCGATTCCCCCCTCGAAATGCAAAATGTTGCTTCAGGATTAGGTTGCATTGACACCCGAACTAATGATAGGGAGTAAAGTAGTTGAGTGTGTTGACCGCTTCACTTATCTTGGAAGTTTCATCAGCCCTTGTGGTTTAGTGTGTGACGAAATCTGAGCACGGATACAGAAGGCTCGAATAGTTTTGCCAACTTGCGTCATTTATGGCGTAGGCGAGATATCCGTCTATCAACCAAAAGACGTTTTTACTGCGCAGCAGTTTGTTCCGTCCTACTCTCTGGCAGTGAAACATGGCCTGTAAGAGTAGAGGATATCCGTAGGTTACTAGTATTTGATCATAGGTGTCTTCGAAATATTGCTCGTATATCCTGGGACCATCGAGTAAGTAACGCAGTTGTTAGGAAACGGGTACTAGGTAAGGATGGCAAATCAATTGATGAAGTATTGAAACTTCATCAGTTGAGATGGCTGGGACACGTGTTACGTATGCTCAACGACCGACTGCCTCGACGTGCTATGTTCAGTGGTATAGGAGTAGGTTGGAAGAAAGCTAGGGGCGGCCAAACCAAAACATGGCACAAGTCCATGAAGTCACTGACAAGTGAACTGAGTCATGTTGGTAGGTGTAGACTACCTGGTTGGGGACCGCAAGACGATAGAAACCGATGGTTAGAAATCCTGAATGACATGGCTCAAAATCTTTTGCAATGGCGCAGGTGCATCCACTCTTTGTGTTCTCCCAAATCCTAATCTCCTGAATTCTTTTTGTCCCTTTTTTCTCTTTCCAAATTTATTTCACTGGATTATACTCTTTAAATAACATCTTCAAGCCCTTGTCTTTCCGATCACTGCTTATACTTTTACTACCCCTACCACAACGGAATTTGAATCGATAATTGTATCTGTGTGCTAATGTGGTATGGCAACTCGAACTGGTGTACGCACGTACGAAGTTCCATGTTGTTACTGACTTTTAATGTGTGGCTAATTTGATTTAGAATAAATTCGTCGTGTTAATTAAAATAGTCAACCTGTTAAACAGCAATATTAACTTCAGTGTTTCCTGATATTTTATATCCAACATAGTTTGTTACTAGTAGAAATATTGTTTTACTCAAAAGTGGCCTCATTGGCAATATGTAGTGAGATAGGAATCTTGACGTAATAAACAAAGCCTGTTTATAATTCTTTGTTTAGCACTGTTGTAAAGTTCTCTTACTCTTGGCAAGCAAGTTTTTAAGACATAACTGGTAAGTTTATATTGTTTGGATAACATATAAATCTTAGTAATTCTTACTGAGTGCTGAAATTTTTCTCTGGAAAAACTTATATATTCTGAAGGTTTTGGTTATTCATTTTTTCTGAACTGTTGCCTGTTGAATATGTTACTGATTTTAAGACTAAATACTCAGCTGATTCGTTGACTAAGTGATATGATCATCAATCATACTGAATGTATTACCCATTATTTCTTCGTCTAACTTTTTCCAAACGTAATGCGTTTTCAAGCGTGAAGAATTTCCTTGTCAAAATGCGATTTAGGATTTTACGGAATTATAGGTTTATTAAACTATGAATGTTCTGTTTTAATTCTGCTCCCCTATTTTCGCTTAAGTCCTCACAGTTGGAGAAGCAATAAGTTGATAACCAACCGTGGAAAAGGTCCATGAGTTAAGGTTGTAAATTACAAGCACCCTCACTGAGATATTAAGGACACACAATCAATTTGTCTACTTTTTAATTACTTGTTAACTAGTGCTTTAAATAGGCAGTTTTATGGTTTGTAATTTCGTGACTCGAATTTCCTGTCATTGCCACTTTCATTTCCTCTTTTTGATTCGATAAGTTATGAGGTTTGAAATCACTAGTAATGCAAATGCCCGTTGTATGTGTAACGGTCGTGGTAAATCAGTAACCTAGTTAATTAGTGGGTATTAAGTTCAAAGCTCAGTGGTAACGTTAACACCAATACAAGTACATTTATCTTGGTTTTTGTCAAAATTTGAACAGTCGCACTAATCGGACGACGGGTAAATAGAAGACATTCGATATTGAAACATTTTAGTAAAGATCGCACAGTAGCCCTCAAATGCCCTGGTACGGCCAAGAGTGGGGGGCGTCCGCTCTCCCTCTCGAAATGCTATCACATGGCCATGCGTATATAGCCTCTACCAGGGAAGTCCTACTCACTGACTTCTCGTGGCGGGGGTGTTGTTTACGAAAATGAGAGGACGAAAAGCGAATGTCCGGCGCTTAAACCGGGTTCCAAACAAATGGTGCTCATGGGCTCCAGTATCCTGAGGGAACAAATGTCGTATGAACCAATTGTTGGTCACCGGCTTCCATGGGACTGCATCTCCTCACGTTGCTCCACTTTCTTGTTGATCAGACCTTCGGGTCGAGGGCTCCGGGTGTGGCGTCCTAAGAAAACCACTTGCTTCGGTTTGGGCACCCGGGGAGTATCACAGCCCTCACACATATCAAATGAGATTTGTGTGGCGCATATGTATTTGGTGCCTCTTTATACCAATATCTATGTGTTGAAATAAGTAATAGATAAATAGTAAAGATCGCATTGTATGAAACCAAAAAGTTCAAGCGTTTTTTTGCCTAGTGGTGTTCAAACTTCAAGAGAATAATCAAACTGAAGAAAATTCACCCGACATTTTCCGAATGAAACACTAAATCCACGGTAAAGCTACTGACTGTCATACTTAAACCATTAAGCTCACTGAATATCCTCTTGATGTTGAGTTCGTTAAGACAGATGTGTTAATTACTTAACACAGACTCACAGCCGATTATGCAGTGATTTCGAATTCATGAGAAATTTAGTTGACTACTTTAACATAATTAATAATTTGTTCCCAATATATATTGGTCATCTTTACAACTTGTTTCGCAGCATCTCTGACTCAATTTATGTATAATGTTATTTTTCAGTAACCAGTAATGTTTAATTTCATAAATATTTTGTAACTACGTGTAGGCTATTACAATGTTGTCTGCTGACGTCGAAGTTTCTCGGTACATGGAATTTTTTATTGCCCACATTATTCAAAGATCAATGTCACTCAATTTTCACCGTCAGTCAGCTACAACGTAGGACCAGGCACATATATGCATCGGTCCAAGTTGCCATACCTCATTTACACAACAAGATGGACACCGGATTCATAAAAGTAGTTAATTCAGAGGTGGTAATATATAAAAGAAAGATTGCATATAAGGATATAGTACAGGAAGAAAGAATTAGTTCGTAGAAAGAAAGATATGAAGCGAATTTTGATCTCTTAGTTTAAGGGAAGACAGAGAGTGTATACACCGACGCCATTGTGATCGATTCTGAGCCATGTCAACAAGAGTCTCCAACCATTGGTTACGATAGTCACGCAGACCCCAACCAAGTAGTCTGCATCTACCAACATGGCTCAGACTAGGAGTTAGTGACTTCAAGCACTGATGCCACATTTTGGATTGGCCGCCCCTCACTTTCTTCCAACCATCTCCAACACTGGTTAGCATTGCGCGTCGTGGTAATCGGTGTTCAGGCATACGTAACACATGATCCAACCATCTCAGTCGATGAAGATTCACAACCTCATCAACTGATTTACCATCATTTTCTAATATCCTGCGTCGAACCTCACTATTACTTACCTGGTGATCCCAGCAGATGCCAGCAATATCTCTGAGGCATCTGTGGTCAAATACTAGTAGCTTACGAGTATCTTATACCCTTCATGGCCATATTTCGCTACCGTAAATTAAAACAGAACGGACTGCCGCGCAGTATACTCGTCCTTTTATTGATAGACGGATATCTCGCCTTCGCCATAGGTGACGTAAGTTGGCAAAAGCCAAACGAGCTTTTCGAATCCGTGCTGAGATTTCGTCAGACACCAACCCATTAGGGCTGATCAGACTTCCAAAATAAGTGAAGCTGTTAACGCGTTCGACTACTTCACTCCCTATGCTTAGTTCAGGTGTTGACGCAGACTAGTCCTGAAGCAGCAGTTTGCATTTAGAGGGAGAGAAGCGCATTCCAAACATTCTGGTATTGTTGCTTAGTGCTACCGAAAGACTGCATTTTATCAGCGTCTTCTTTAATGTGGACTATATCATCTGCGTATTCTAAGTCGATAAGTGGACCTCCTGGAAGGAGATCAATACCCGAGAACTCAGTCGACGAGAATGTTATTTCCATCAATAGGTTTATGATGAAGTTAAACATAAATGGAGAAAGTGAACAGCCTTGACGGACGCCTCTTGAGGTTGCGAAGACAGATGACAGCTCGCCATAAGCTCTGATTCAACTAATAGTGTTCGAGTAAAGAACCTTCACGAGGTTTATGTACTTCTGAGGTACGTCTTTCCATGAAAGATACTGCCACAGAATCTCGCAGTTTACGGAATTAAATGCTATTTTTAAGTCAAGAAACACCACGATTGTCGGACGCCGTTAAGTATGCCTATGTTCTAGAACCTGACAAATGGTGAATATGTGGTCGATGCAGCCACGACCAGGTCTGAAGCCAGCTCGATTCTCTCGTGTTTGCAGTTCATCTTCACTTTTCGATAGTTGATATTATAGAGCATTTTATTTGTTCATTTTTTACAGACCAATCGTTTACTGGAACATCCTTGCAGCCTTTCCGAATTCGACCGTCGTATCGTAGAGGCAGATGCTTTTTTACAAATTCTCATAGATCAACATGAGGTATATTTGAAAAATTATTCTTAATCTCCAAGTTTTATTTGTTCACTGTGTCCATTTTCTGTAGTCCTATGTAATTGTTAACATGTCAACCGTTTTAATCAGTTGATTGTAACTAGAAAATTATAACTTATTCGATAAACTTGGCTTCTAGGTGTTTGTTTTGATGGATAGAACGAGAAACCCTACCTTGCGGTGGGAGCAGCATGAACCCAATGTTTCAATATACTAGATGCTAGATCCTCAGAAATCGCTTGGTAAACGTCTTAATTTTGTAATTATATTTTGAAAATTTGAATTTCTCGTTTTCGCGCCAAAAGCACCCGATTTTTACCTTCAGAGTGTATTTCCCACTTGGAAGGACCATAAATATCATTGGTTCGTTGCCTCTTTTAATACACTATTTTGTAACATTTCCTAAAGACCTTTATATACTGTGTATATAAATGCTTGAGGTGCGTGCTTGGTTTGTTCGTGCTTCTAGCTGCCTGTGGGATATACATTTCGCTCATCCCAACCTGGTCTTCTCCCTCTAGTTAGCAGGTCCGGAACACATCAGAATAGTTAGCTTGTCTTTTCGTTATTATTATTATTATTATTAATGGCTTTATTCAATATTATATTTTGGTACAATATAGAATTCTCAGCACAGGTTATTTTAACAAGTTTCTTACACAAAAATACAGAAACAAAGACAAAAAGGAAAAAAAGGTTTAAAACAATCAGAAAAACTGTACAACTTTTCAAATTAGAGACATGTTAAGAATGCCGGTTATTGACTAGGTTAACTCTAACAACCTGTTCGTCACAGAGTATATTTGGTAGATAAGGTATTATAGAACTTTTATACTTTTGCTTGCGCGTATGAATTTTAATGTAATTACGTCTCGTTCTAACAGAAGATATACAAGGAGAAAGATAAGAGTGAAGGGGATGGTTAGTAGCTGATAAAATAACACCTACCAGTAGTTTGCATGATTTTAAATGTCTATCCACAACCATATTAACTATGACCTCGAAAGATTCACCACACATCTTGCTAACTGCCTTCAGCACTCTCTGCAATACAGCAAAGTCTTTTCTCAAAAGCCCGGGAAAGAATAATGGAGAACAGTAAAGCATAATAGGTAATTTGCAAGAATTGACAAATTGTAAGAGTAAATGACGAGTAATCGAACATACTTCCTACCCTTTCCTAAGTTGAACACTATATTGTGATGCAGAACAGCAACAGCATCTCGGGTGTTTCTTTTGCATCTTTAAGCAAACTGATACGGATCAATATACTCTTTTATCGCAGGCTGAAGTGGAAATATTAATAATTTTTACATTGTTTTGAGGAAGGGTGAAGTTATTGCAATAGGTCTAAATTTTACATTCTTATCATCAGATACTTTCTTGGGTACAGGGATCATCTTCGTCTTTCTCCACATTTTCGATATGAGATTAGATGAGAAAAATCTGTTAAGGATAGTCGTGAATGGATAACATAGGACGTCAGCACATTTTTTAAAAAGGAGGTTTGGGATACCATCAGGTCCTAAACATCGGGATGAATTAAGTGACTGGAGATATCTTCGGACATCAGTTTCAGCGAAACTAGGAACACAGCTATTCTTTAAACCTGTGGTTAAAGGGAGCATCCCATCAGATGACTGACGTACAAAAGACTTATTTAAGTCACAAGCATTCAGCTGGTTATCGCTCCTAATCTGTCTGCCACCTGTAGGTTCTTTAAAGAGTTTCCACATACTTGGAAAGTTTTTGCAAGACAAGAGTTTTTGAGTAAACATAGAGTTGCTCATTCTTCTTTTCGTTAGCCTATTTGGGTGATCTCGTAGTCTCCAAACATAGCACAATATTTCTATGATTTTTTTATAGCTCATCATCGTTGTTACTTTGGTTTCTTCTATTCTCTTTTTTTACTTGTCTCGTTTGATGCATCCTTTATTTCTTTACGAATATCAAATCAATGAGTTACAATCTCGTAAGCAAAATTAAGATAATCCTTTAAGTTTGAAATGATGTCTAGAGAATCAAAGTTCACTAAACTAAATAATTTGCTCATATAACGCACTTCGAATAATTGCGTGCTAATCTAAAGCAGAATAATTATTTAGTGATTGTTTAGACTGTTATAAAAAAGTGTGTTTCAGTAAGGACTGTAGGCCACATTCTAAATGAATAGGTTATTGTTCGTGTGCATTAGCAGTATATTTGCTCAGTTGAAGACATTACAGGTCCTTAATTATTGATATCTTATTACTTTTTCACAACGACGTATTGATTGGATACATACTTTCGAAACAGAGTACCATGTTCACTAGATCAACAATAGTGAAATTGTGTTATAATTAATCTCTAGTGCTTGTGAGGTATTATCATTATTGTCAACACAAATTTGTACTTAATTGTTTGAAATGGTCCCCTTTTTTAACCAAAAGGACCAGAATTATGAACCTGTAAGATTTTTACAGTCTTGTAATGTAATTATCCTTCACATACTGAGCATGGTTTGGAGGTTAATCAACGAATTTGTTTATCATTTCTACATATCAATACAGAATGTTTTGGGCAGCATGATTCTGCAGACCGAAACGTTTTTTTTCAAAATCTCAAAAGAGCTTGTACAAAGACCTAAAGCTGTATATCAGACTATTATGTATTGAATTGTCAAGATACTCCCATATTTTTAACGCTGCGCAAGTTAATTTGGTTCTTCATATAATTCATCAGTTTTTTTAAAACTGAAAACTGGTCGCTTCGCTAACTTGATTTTTGTCTTATTCGTTTGTATACTGATCTCCTCACTTAACTTCCATCTGATTAGTGTTTTTTTTTATTCTATCCAACAAGACTTGTTATTTGATTAGGAGGAAGTTACATAAAGAATCGTTTAAGATGAATAACAATGGAATTAAATTAATCGTAAAATATTATTTTATTTGTTTCTCGTTTTGTTAGTTATGTTCTTCAACTTATATTTGAAGGAGAAACTAAGTACTAATCGTAACTGTATTATAATCGGATTATGTGCTTATCGTTTCATTACTTCCAGATCACCCTACTAGTTATGGTATAATGGTTAAAAGTATTCATGTTTCTACAGATATTAGATCATAGTTTCGATCTTTACTCCACATTAGTCTTTTCCGTTACTGCTTGGTATCATTAGGTCTAGTCTATTACTACTTATATCTACCTTGTCATGTTACATGTAATGTAATTTTCTTTAATCATATAATCTAGGTTTTATTTTGAAACAAATTTGATATTATTTTCATGAAATTACATGCTGTTAAAATGACATGAATTTTATGAGCTTACGAGGAAAAACTGATTGCGTTACAGTGATCCACTCAGAACTCTGTAGTCTGCTTTTTATTGTTAAAATAAAAATATGAGATTGTAACTGGTTTTTTTATCAACTGTCTAACGGCACTTGAGTATTTTATACTCAAGTGCCGTTAGACAGTTGATAAAAAAATAAGATAGACTCCATCATGGACATTGAAATAGACCGACACATATTAAACCATTAGGTGATGCCGTTTGTTAAATTACAGATTTTAACAAATTTTTATGATCCATTATTTTTTTTACAACGTTTCACACTGACGGTGTAGATCATATGAATTGAACCAGGTGATACTTCGTCTAGTAAATACTATATTAATTGATGTAAATACGAGATTTGTTAAGGGTAAACAATGTTTGCAAATATTTCTCACACATTATTTGGTTTGCAATTTTTTGACAAATATTCAAGGCAGTCTAGTCATGTTCATGCCTGGTGATGTTTGGTACATAGATTACGCTCATGAGAAGATTGCTTATCTGCATATCATTTGTGAATATCGTTTGTAATGTACCAATCCAACCAACTTGATCACCTACCAAACTATTCCTTTTGTATTTTCGTACACCCAAACATTTTATCCTACATCTATTTACCGTTATTTAGTCTTATCTTTGTTTTTTTGGAAGGTCCAGCAACCTAAACAATTACTGTGTGGTGCAAATTTTTTCGTGTTTGTCTTTGTGTAACTTTGCTTTGCACAAATTTTTGTGTCTGTTTAAAGCATATGATGAACAATATATGTGGTTGGTTAGGTTAATGATTTTCTTTTGGTCGATCTTGAAGCCTGAGTTTTACGACTTAAAATTAATTTGGCAAACTGCCGTGAACATATGGAATTCGGGTATTGTATCATTCCTGTCTTTTCTCTCCCGTTATTTTTCTTTCAATTAAAGTGCAATTGATTAGTTATTCCATCAGCCCGATTGTTTATATATATATATATGTTTGCGATTGACTATAGATATTTACCCAACTTTTCTTTGTAAAATTTCTTAAAAATCAACTTTAGGCGTATAATTGCATTTATACTGTTTGATTTCAGCAACTGGTCAGTCATATTCCATCGTCCGATGAATGTCGACCGGAGATTATGGGTGCTGTCACTTTTCGGATGCAGGTAAGTTAAAGTCACATTAGTTATTACTGAAGTGTTTTGTGGTAAGGCTTATGGAATTTAAAAGTAGTGTTCACTACAAAATAAAATAAGCTAAAAATTATCATAAACGAAGGAGAAACGACAATTATTTCGTCGCGATTTGGGACTCATTCTTTGTGCTCACACACAATTTCATCAAACTCGATGACACGTGGCTTCATTCAATTTACAATACTACTTAATTAAAATACCTCACTGATACGCATAATTTGTTAAACTGCTAAATAACACACTACACCATTCATTCACATGAAAATTTATTGTCTTAAATATTTGCACAATTTACAGTTTATCTTTTGTTGTTACTTCGTGTATTATCATTATTTGTATTAAATGTTCAATTTCCTTATTAGTGAACTCAATAACTGCAGTTAGTTAACCTTCGACTGTATGTATTTATGAGACAATACTTTTCTACCTAAAATTGTCTTAATTTTTAATTTTACGTGTATTCCTTTTATTTTTACTATCAATGCACAAAGGCATATGTACGTGGGCATATCAACCATTACTGAATCTCTTATTAAATTTTTCATGTTTCTATAGATGGTTATACCTTTTATGATGTAAATTATTTTTTTGTCTGCGTGGTTTTCGTGGCAGCGACTATTTTGAACGTACATAATATATAAGATGGTGTTGTCTAAAAAACTAAGCAAAAAATGTTGTGCAGATAGTGGTATTTTTCTAAATTTTTGATATATGTTAGCTTGTGAAACGCATCTGGTCACCAGATCTTCGCTTCAACACACACTTCTACACCCAATTAAACCACATTTGAGGAAGACAGATATAGAAACTGATTGATTTCTACCTAGTCTTGATGGGCAAATTTAGTTTTGTTCACGGGGACGGTCACTGTACTTGAGTTAGTTAAAACTATTCAGTGGTTGTGGCGAAATCGGAACCTTCTTTTGATACGGGTTTCATATCGTAGATAACAAAGTGCTTAGTTGACTACCTGGAGGTCATTACTTTGGATTCTTTCTCAGCTCACAACGTTTTGTAGTTTCACTCACCACTTCCGTATACAAATCTCAGCTAATGAACTTCATGATAGTTCACTTTGTAGTATTTTGTGGCTTTAAAAAATGGTCCATGAAAGTGAAATATATGCTTAGGCTGCGATGTCTTCAAAGCATTATTAGCTTGTGGAACGATCGGATGAACAATGTTGACTTTCAACGTCTGGTACTAAGGAAAGATGTCGAATTGATAGATAACGTTGTGAATGTTCATGAATTTAGGTGGTTGGGACGTATGTTACACATGCTTATTCCCCTCTTACCTCGATGTAGAGTATTAATTGATGTAGGACTAGGTTGAAAGAAAGCTAAGGGTGACCAAGCCAAAATCTGGCATCAGTCCATGAAATCGTTGGCTGTTGGTCTGAGTCATGCCGGTAGATGCAGACTACCTGACTAGAGTCTACGTGGTTATCACAACCACTGGAGATGTGTAACATGGCTTAGAATCGGTGACAATGACAAAAGTGTATTTACTCTTTATCTTCTAAACCTTGAGTCGTAATATTCCTCCATACATATATTTTCATTCTGTCTCAAACCCTATCGTGGTGCTTTAGTTTCCCTCATTATCATTACTACTATTATTGTTCCAACTCAGTTATTCATCTTGTTACTTTCGTCTCGTATTGTAGGGGTATAGATACTTTGAATGACACAGATTTGTGATAGGCTGTACATTGATTATGATGGACTGATTATACAATCACAGCTGTCTCATATCATTGTTGAATTATGCAGTTCGCTCATAGTTCATTTTTTGTCAAAAATCATAATTGGAGGTGTTCCACACCTTGACCTCATATCGCGGTTGCATTCCGCAGTACTTCCAATTCTTTTGTGACTAATATATTGTATGCTGTAATCATAAAGTAAAGAAAAGCTCTGTTTACTAAGTAGATATTACAAAGAAAACAAAGAACATGTGGAACACACTGATCTATTCGGATTTAAACTATCACAATTCACTTTGAATCATAGCCATTATCAATTAGTAATTAGTCGGAAATTAATGAATAATTTTATACTAGGATTTATGTTGGTGGGTTTATTCAACTTTGAAAGCGACCCTCTCAAATCCAGTTCTTTAAAAGCTGATATTCTGTTTAGCTATACATCATTCTTATTTATAGCCATCTGAAAACTTTTTCCACGTTATTTTACGAAGAATAAATTACATTTTCATTCTAGTTTCTAGAATTATTTTTATGTTCACTCCATTTATCAGGGAAGTGTCATCGAAACAATTGTTACCACCCAAGACAAAATTTAACCATATTTCTATGTGTGCATACCACGTTGTTTAACTTGTCCGTTTTATTCTTTACTAATTTCGTGTACCTCACAAATCACAATGAATATATTTGACCTGAATTTGTGACTGCTAAATAAATATTTACTCACAAATGTGAATATTGAATAGTGATATAATAAAATATTTATTGCTTACTGTACTACAAAACTTTGCCCACGAATGTAAAAGGATTTGTCAAGTTGTAACTGTATACGACTGTCTACGTAAGCAAAGTCGTAATATTATGTTTCATAAACGTCTTTCTAGATTGTGCCATTTTACAAGCTGCTTTTATTTACCAGTTGTTAATTTTTCGAAACTATACGAATATGAAATTTGATATCATAACTGCCTTCATCTTTAAAACCTTTGTCAAATCGTTTTCTTTTATGCACAAATGTTTGTCATGGTTCTTTCTTTTAATATAACGCACACAGACACGAATTTATTATAATTTATGTTTCAGTACCAGGTTTAAGTGTTTGGTTCTTTGCATCTATCAAATAATGTGGTCTTTGAATGATTATTGTCTAGTTATTGTAATGGTACGTTCAGGCAATTGAATTTAAGTCTAACCGTTGGTAATAATTGATAAGTTGTACTGTTTCTCCTGTGTAGTGTCATTACCTCCCATATATGAACATAGACGTGTACCTGGTAACGAAGTTTTACCACTGTTGATCTGATCACCGCGAGGCTTCTGTATCTAGTTTATTTTCAACACTATTGACTCAACATTTAGTGTAGTCGACTAGGATTCATTACCTACACAATACTACTCAACTAATACCAAGATTACACACTTTATAAACCCAAAATTCGTCTAGCAATCTTCAAAGGGATTATTCCTCAAATATATATAACCTCAGCTTATATTTTACTTTTGGAGGTTATATAATACAGCGGTGTTTGATACAGAACACCAGATTCGAATGGTTTTAGGATAATCTCACTCATCTATTTCTCTTGATAATACCTATTATTTGATTGAGTAACATATCATCATCAATAATTTTTGTTTATTTTGTAATGATTGGTAGAGTATCTGGTCGATACATTGTCAATCAGAGAAGAAACCTACCAGACTGTCTTGAAATCACAGCTTATTTGTTTCAGTTAGACGATGAATTATTGTTCAGAAGAACATATAAAGGATATCGGTTAAGATAATTTACTCAAGGTTTCTTTTGTATACTAAGACGACCGCGACCACATAGTGTTAATTGGGTGTACTTCATTGAGATACCAAAGAAAGTATTAATCAGTGTCAGAACTACAGAAGCACGCCACTCTCGTTACAGGGGGGAAGTTTTCAAGTGTTTCTGAAGCGAATAAAAGATTCAGTAGATAGCCCAATTCGACGCCAGGAAGCTGGGTTTGCTAAGGATTATTCTTTATCGACCGAATTGCGATAATGTGAATCATTGATGAGTAACAAATTGAATTGGACTTTACGTCAACTTTCTTGATTCTGAAAAGGTTATTCGACAGCCTGAATGGTTAAATCCCATGAAATCCTCTTTTGTTCTATGAAGTGCCCGAAAAGATGGTCAGCATCATTTGGAACTCCTACTGAGGACTGAATTATAAAGCCGTGCATGGAAGAGAGCTTACAGATAGGTGTATTCTGAGTGAAAACTGATGTCAAAGAAGGATGCATATCCTCACATTTTCTCTTTCCTTAAGTTACTGACTGGATCGTGAAGACCTTCACGGATTAAGAAAAAGACTACAGATTACATAGAGGTTCTATCGCATACACAGCAAAATATACAGATGGAGGAATCCAGTGAGTCATCGGCTTCGGCAAGAATAGGCGTCACAGGGGAAAAAGAGAAATCCTGAAGCACCATTTAAATCACACTCTATGGAAAAGCTTTGGATGAGATGGAAACCATCACGTACGTGGTTACCATCATTGATGAATAAGAAAGATTTGATGCAGATGCCAATGCACAGTTTGGCAAAACAAGGGGAGCTTTCTTACAATTGAAGAATATCTGTGACTCAAAACAACTGTCACTGAATATGTATGATACTCCAGATCCATTGAACAGAGACCATCAGTAACAATCTGTGGCAGAGAACAGACCAGCTGCCGATCGAGGCAGATATTAAGAAAAGGTGCTTGAGGTGGGTGAGACACACTACAGAAACCATTAAACTGCATCACCAGTCAAACCCTAACTTCGAATTTTGAAGGTAAAAGGAAAAGAGTCAGAACAAAGGGTACGTGGTTCCAGGAATATAAAGCAGATATCATGATCATGCATAGTAATTGGTAGTAAATGGAAAGTAGGGTCTAGTATAGAGTTGACTAGAGATCTCTGATCGGCAGCCAATGTCACTTGGAGGGTTAGTAAGCATAAAGAAGGATCGTATATGAAAGCTTATGTTGGTAACGACTTCACTTTCGGGCTTTTATTGAGATGCAGCTATGTTAAATGTCCACTGTTTGCATTTGGTTCGCTCTCTCGCTGGGCAATAAAATTTTAATAGAAGGCCAGTTGAAATATTACGAAATGTGTCCTGTGCATCTTTTCGGTCACTTTCTGTGTGTATGAACCATTGTTGATGATAATTTTCCGCTTACGAATTCGAACAACTGATCTCTGGTCAGATCGTTTCCACTTTTCAGGATA